AATAAGTGTGAGAGTGCTTACAAGGGGAGATAGTCGATGTTTGTAATGGCTCAGCCATTCCCAGTCCTTATTCAAACCGGAGTTGATTGTGTCTAGTTTGCATATCAATTCTAGCTCAATTAAATCAAATTTATCAAATTAAATCTAGTTAAATCAAAACCTTGAATCCATGACACCCTTACATTTTGGGAGTTAGAAATATGGATCTGAATTTCCCTGTTCAAGCCTCTCTCTAAAAATTAGTCATGGCCCTTAAACCGATTACCTTAAAACAGAGTTGGGCCTGAGCCCTTCAATTTTGGAACTTTACCCAGGTTGGGGAAGTTTGGATTCTCGGGACTAGATTCTCGGTTGTTCTCCAGCCTGTGTCATCAGTTATACCAGTGCAAAATGCTATCAAATCAGAATGGCCATGAGATTTGCACACACTCTTGGCACTGGTATAAATGACGAAACAAAGTGCAGGGCAACAAAGAATCTAGTCTCAGGTTTTTGGTCAGTTTCACTGCAGAGACAGAGCATAGAAACATAGATTTGAATCCACATTCAAACTTCCTCAAAGTTCAGGAGGCACAGGGAGGTTTGGATCTGAGGTTTCCAGTCAGGCCCTTCTATCTTTATTTCAGGGATGGTCTTGGCAATTGTCATCAATAAATGATAAAAACCTGACCTCTAGTGGTTGTAACGAACAGATACAGTGTCAGCTTTAAGGTGGAATACTGAAAGAAAGAGAGTGTAGCAGTTTAGAAGACTTTCTTAGCATAGTTGTCCAAATGTTGATACAGTTTTCCCAAGAATATTTAAAGCAGAGGGCATGATCCTGTTCTCAGTCACACTAGTTTTACACAAGCAGTATTACCAACCCCAAGTTTTCAAAAACCATGAAAAACATATACATTGGGCATTCCTTTTATTTACTGTCTGATGTTGCCAAGTTTAGAGTTCACATTTTCAAACTTTTCTCTGCAGCCATAAGGGCTAGAAACTTACTTTTTAAAAAACTGAAAGCTGGGATTGTCAGGCAATAGCCTGATTGCAGGAGCTTGAGGCTTTAAGAAACACACCAACCATTGTGACAGTTGGCAAGACTGCCACTGGTGGAACTCCATTAACCTCAGAAGAGTTACTCTCCATTTGCCCCAATATAAGTGAGCGCAGAGTCAGGTCCCTAGTTTTTATGCCTGTTAAGTCTTCCTTACCCGGAAGTCTGGAGAGATAAGTATAATAGAATTATGCATATTCCGCCAGGGGATCTCAGAGGGCTCACAGATCGTTTCTTACACCTCGTCTGTGAGGTCAGGGAGTATTATCCTCATTTAATAGATGGGGAACTGACAACAGACTAAGGCGCAGAGAGTTAACAGGTTAGATCCTCCACTGGTTTTAAATGGGTGCAGCTCCATTTATTTCAATGGAAATTTACCTATTTACACACCAGCTGAGAATCTGGCTTCATGTTTTCCAAAGCTTGGGGAGGCACAAACAGCAAGGTTTTGAAAGTTTCAGTGGGTGGCCCTCCAGTGGAGGCAGCGTGAGCATCCAACACACAGAGTAGATTTTCAAAGCACAGAAATGTCCCACATTCTGCTTTGGAAGAACAATAACCTAACTTTGAGTGCTCAAAACCAGAGAGTTAGTGATCTGCAGAGCACCCACAGGAGACCCTCTGAAAAATCCCCTGCATGTGTGCCCTACCTAAGATCTTTAAACTGGAGGCCTAATTCTCCCCTGCTTTGTGTAATCACTTATAGCAAAGTGAGAGTAAAAACATAGCCATTTTGAGCTGGCAGTGCCTTATGTTCACTTTACATAAGTGTAAATGACCACATCTAGTGCAACACAGTAGAGAATTTGGGCTTCAACATATACATCAGTGCCCATACACTCGCTGAGGTTCCGGTTGGTTTGGTTAGAAACACTAAAGGGAATCTGGCTACATTAATTGGAGATGTACTAAAGCCAGATCCACTTTGTACAGCTGGTCCCTATCTCTGTGATAAGCAGCTCGTGTGCAGAGTGCAGGAGAACCACATGGTCCACAGTGAACGCTGGGTTTGCTCCAGCTCATCTCCCAGTCTCTTTGCTGAGAGGAAGGGTTTTAAGAGTGGCTATTTGGGAAGCAAGGTGGGAAAAAGGTCTTTAGGGTGGCTAGGCTTCACAGTCAGTTGTGAGAAAGGACTGGGGAGTGTTTCTGTTTACTTTTTGATTATGCTGTTTTACTTTTTAATTACAGGCAAGAGCCCTTGAGAAAAAGACGTTGCTGAATGAAACTTTTTTTTCTTTTCCTTTTCATTTGTTCCAGCTTGCAGGGTCAAACTGAACCAAAAATCTAATCACCCTTGAAATATGGGGAAATTTGTGCATCTCTCCATCTGTGCTGTTTCGGTATTGGAGGGAAGTGATCCCCTACATACAGTGGGCTGTATTCATTGGTATGCTCAGCTGCTTTGCACTGCTCCCAAGATACGAGGGTCCAGATTTTTAAAAGGTATTTTCAGCACCCAATTCTTATTGATTTCAATGGGAATTAGGCACCTAAATACCTTTAAAAATCTGGCCCTAAATATCTATAAACCCAGGGCAGCCAGACAGATGCTCCAAGTCTATGGTTTGCTTTGTGTTGCTTTGACAGGGCAAGAGCAGACAAAGTGGTATCAGTGACTCTTGCCCAGTCTGCATGTTGAGGTGCAAAGTGATTTGGGGTCATTCAGGATAAGGAGGCAATATAAAAATGGAAGTTGTTTTGTGCTGGGACTTTGTTGTTTTTTTTAAATGCGGACTTCTGTGAAGGCTGCCTGCGAGAGCGCGCGCGTGTGCGTGCGTGTGTGTGTGCGCACACACGCACTTTCAATTTTAGTGCCCCTGGGATCCAGGGATTAATAATATTTTGGACTTTTAATGAACTCCTGGATAGCAGTGTGCAGTACAGACATTAATGAATTAGGCCTCACTACACCCCTGTGAAGTAAAGTATGTATTATTCCCAGGTCCATATGAAGAACCTGAAACACAGATTTAGGTACAACTTACCAAAAGCAACCTTTAATTTTGAGCACCTCCTATGTGTTGAGTGTCTAATTTTAAACACTTAGGGTATGTCTACACTACAATAAAAGACCCGCAGCATGGACACAGCTGGCCTGCAGCTGATTGTGGGGCTATAAAGCAGCAGTGCAGATGTTCAGGCTCAGGCTGGAGCCTGGCCTCTGAGCACCTGTGAGGGGAATGGATCTCCGAGCCCGAGCTACAGTCTGAACCCAAATGTCTACACTGCAGTTTTAGCCGTGCAAGCCCAAGTCGCTGACCTGGGCTCTGCGACTCGATACCACTTTTTTTTTATAGCAGTATAAACATAACCTTTGGGTCAATTTTCAGGGATGCTGAGCAGATCCCATAGACTTCATTTGGAGTCAAGACAATCTGACAATCAAGATCTAGGGCTGAAAACCTCATCCCACTGAATTCTGTAGGAGCTTTACCATTGAGTTTGATGGAGCCAGAATTTCACCCTAGCTGTCTAAAGTTTGGCACCCCAAACGTGAAGCACCCAAAATAAAGGCTACTTTTGAAAATGACCCACTTAAGGTGTCTCAGACATTTTGGAGAAGAGTCTGATCTTCTGAGAATCAGTCCTGTGCTTTAGGCACAAAACTACCTCTTCTTCCTCTAGCCCAGATAAAGAATACCCTATATTAAATTGTGACAACCTCACACCTGGACATTATCTGAAATAAATCCTTCCTATGCCCAAGCAAATGGATTAATTTTTCTGCAAATGGAAAGTTCCCAGATGAAGCATGGAAGAATATGATACCACCACATTTGGCAGGAGTAGTTCATCACAGCTGCCCAAAGCGGAGTCATCTACCACTTAGAACAGATTCACAGGATTTCTAATCCCAGATCTCTCTGGGTCCCTCAAAAACACCAAGGAGAGACTGTAGGACTGACCTTTGCCAAGGTAAACCGCCTTTACTATTCTTTGTGCAAAACTAAAATGTTAAAGGCATGAAATAAAGAGCGGTGGAGTCTAGAAGTGATTTATCTAAACTGTATTTGTTGTGTTTTCTCTTAAATATCAAACAGAAGAACTAGGGCAGAACATCCAAAATCTTCCATATTAACCAGCCCTAACAGAATATTTCTCCCTCCATCAGCAAGCCAGAAATAATAGTCCTTTTTGTCAAAGAATGGTTACAGGGACGTGCAATATGAATAATATGTTCCATTTTCTGAATCATGTAAATGATGATGCTACTTGAAGGAGTCAAACATTTCCAAATACCATTCAGAAAACACCTGGCTATTGATATTCAGGAGCCAGATTAACACCCACACATACATTTTTGTGGAAAGGCCGATGGGATAGGACTGGTGTGGGGAAGGAAAACTCCACAGAATGAAACATTCCATCTAGTGGGAGAGCCTGGGGGAAATCACAGATTGTGGATTGCACTGCCTCCCAACATCAACGCATTTCAGGGATCTATGTGGAAGGGAGCTCCCTTCTGCAAAAACAGTTATTCTCACGCGTCCTATCCAACTAAGCAGGATTGCTATTGCCATTGACAAGGTCCATCTATGGCTGTTCCTCACACTTTAGTTCATAGAGAGCTCCATTTTGCATAGACCCTTGGGGGATAATCCAGTCTCACGTTACCAACCCTATCTCCCCCACCTTCATAGTGGGATTTGTGCCGACACCAGTAATTAGACAAACCCCAAGATTTCACAAGCTACAGTTCAAGGCACTTCTGGGACTCAAAGTTTCCAGAGCAGCAGCAGGGTAGCAATATTAGAAGATGCAGAGATAGCCTCCATTACCTTATCCTCGCCCTACTCCTCAAGACATCGGTAGTAAAGGAGGACAGTGGGAGAATGAACTGTCCTTGGAAGTCCCTCCAGTCAAGACACATTTTACTTGTTTATTTGATGTATATGTTACAGACACACAGGTAAATGATGCAAGCTTTCACTTCAATGGATTTATTGCTCTTGTAAAAATTACAGTGCGGCTCTTCAAGTGAGAAAACATTTGTCATCTTTTTTTGTGTGTGTGTGTTGGGGGGGGGGGGAGGGATTTGGAAGCAGTCCAAGCCACAGAGTTCAGATCCAGAAGGGAACTTTTCAAAAGTTTGAAGGGTTCTGGTCTGGACCAACAGAGGTCAGCTGCAAAGCTTGGGTTCTCATTCCAAAGTCTGGGTGTGTTTGGACCAATTACAGGGGAACAATTATGGGACAATAGTGCTCTCTCATGTTGTTCTGGATAGGCTCTACTTACTGCCTCTTAGGGTGAGATACTGCCTCTCCTAATCACCTTGAGTAGAACCTTGTTTGGAGAGTAGTCCCACTGAAGTGAATGGGACTACTCTCAGCATAAGGTACCAATCAAGGTGAGTATATTATAGCCCTTATTAAATAAAAAGAGCCAGGTATGTGCCTATACTTTTGAGCTACATACAATTAACCAGGCAAACAAACACATTCTCACCCAGTTTCACAATCTGTGGTGTGGAGGTGTTGCTGCCTCTCTCAGTACAAGCAGTCACTGAAAGGTTGTAGATGTCTCCCGGAGGCAGGCTCAGAACTGCAGTCATCACATTCCGTGTCACCTACAATGATCATTGGTACCAAGTATTAAATATTATACAAATAAAAGAGCCTCTTTGAAGAAATAAATCAAGCACTTAATGCACTCTGGACAAAATTCTAATCATCAGTATAAATCACTTCTGCATACTCTGCATTCATTATATGTTCTAATTCCCAATGACATTGATGGATGCAAGACACAAGTTCAATAGAATGTCACAGTGCAGAGAGAAGTAAATTTTACAGTATATTTCCTATTGGTTGAAACAAACATAGCTAGTGAAAGATTTTTAAAAAACAACTTTGAGGGGACTTTTAAAATCTGGATTTTGCAAGTTACATCAAACTTTTGAATAACTCTAACCAAACCATGGATCAGAGCACCCTGGAACTTTGGGTATTTGAAAATCAGTTTCGAATTTCTAGGAATAATATAAAAGTTAGGGATGGGTGAGCCTGTACAAGTATAACCCAAGATCATGCCTCTAGATTTGCATGGGATGATCCTTGCACCCATTTGGAACCCTGCTGACTTCACTGAGACTCCGCATAGGTCTACATCCGGAGAGTGGATTGCAGGCTTAGGCCATAGGAAGAACTGACTTGAGCCATGCCCAGAAATCAAATTGAACCTGGAGCTGAATGTGCTTTGAGGTTCAAAAAGAGTGTGAATAACTATTGCTCTATTATTTTTAATGTCCAAGCACCTCTCCCATTTCCCAGTTGCCACTGAAACAGGAAGCAGAGTTGATGACATGCCATCAGAAAGGTTGTTCCCATCGCATTTCTACCCCAGCTACAAGCAATTCACATCAGAAACCTCATGATAGTACCCATCCTCAACCAACTGTGTAATCATAACCACCTGGAGAAAGAATATGTAAACTATATTGCCTGCAACTAAAAAGGAAACACAGGCATGTTTTTGGGTTAAGTCACTAGTAATTAAAAATTGAAGGAACATGTCAGGTCAGAAATCATATAATTGATTTATTTTAAGAAATATTACTTGTTTTACTGATAGCACTTTATATTATTAAAACTGTGGTTACATTTTTAAATTCTCACTTAATTTTACCACATTTGGTGTTATTGGTTTCCGTTGTGCACATTAAAATGAGCCTGCTTGGATTAGCTTTCTATTTGCAAGAGCAGATCATACAAGGTGCTAGTCAGCCACAATTTCCAATTCATTTTATGGTTATAATGTGTGCTCAGCACCTCAACATATCAGACACCGAATGGTTGTTTCACTTACTAATTCTCATGATCGATCTCAATGCTTCTAGTCTGGGGTAGCAAAAACAGAAGGGAAATATTTTATTTTTAAATCATGAAACAAATCCATTATGTTAGGTGAGATTTACCCCTGTTCCGAGAGCCAGAACAAAGTCTATGCACTGCTCAAGTCCCACTTAAGGTATGTCTTCACTGCTCAGTTAACCCAGGGTCCTACCCAAGTTCAAACCCAATCTCCACCACCACCACTCTCCACGCGCAAACATCTCTGACTTGGGTTTGGAAATGCTGAAAGCCTAGGCTAGCTGATCCAGCTGGGATATGCCTCAGCGCTGGTTTAACTCAGGCTGGAACCTGCCCACTTTGCAGTGAGGATGCAGACTAAATCATTTAAGTGTGGATAGTCCTCCAATGCCCTTCCCACAATTCCCCTAGAAGAACAGACAAGTTCTCCTGAAATTGATATAACTGATGGGAAACTCATTCTTTCTTTAAAAAACAAAAAACAAAACAAAACCAAGAACGACTTTATTTTGAAGTCTTAAATGGGTTGTAAAGGGTGCATAGCCCTTATACTGGCTCTCTGCAAAGGGGTACATTTAACCCACTGGGATTTGCGGAAGCTTAATCGACCTGACCATAGTTTGTAATATGAAGTTTGTGTATTGAACATGACAACTTTTTTTTAAAACATTAGAAAGAACAAATGCGCAATCATGAAGCTTTAAAAATCCTATTAAGACTTACGCTCTTTTTGATTTTTTTCTTGCCTTCAGCAATGACCATCCAGTGCAGCATCCTGGAATGAGACAGGTTGGTCCCATCATCTCCATATGTCCAACTGACATACAGCAGATTGTTGAAATATTCTACTGAGGTGATCTCTGGTGACACTGGGGCTGGGGAGAACAAGAAAAAGATGTTACAAACAAAATCTAACTTAATATATAATTAAGTCCCAAAATTAACCTTAGCTACTCACTGCCAAAGGGACTTTATTGGGAGAAAAAGCGTAACAAAAAAAATTAGATATGGATAAATAAGACTAACACCTATAATTGCACTAGCTCTGCATTGCTTGCAGGTATAGTTGGTTGGAAAACTGAAAAGTTTCCACATAAGAAGTCTTGATTAAAAATCTCTCAGTTGAAAAACGTTGGAAGTTTCAAACCAATTTGAAACACAAACTTTATTTCAACTCCACATTTAAAAATGAACCCAAACATTTAGTTTAAACTTAAAACTTTTCAACTTCTTTAAAAAAAACTGAAATGAAACGACATTTTAAGTGAAAAATAAATGAAAATTTCCCTTTAGAATCTAGTTTTCTACTTAAAGCCATTTCATTTCAGTTTCTGCAAACAAAAACCACCTTTAAAGTCAGAACAAAACTGCTCGGTTTGTTAAGAAATGTTGATTAGAAACAGAAATTTTCACTTTGAAATTTCCTGTGCGAAAACTGATTTTTTTTTTAAATCAAGTTTGCCATTTGCCTGCAAAACAAAAACAATGTTAGTTTTGAAAAAAACAGCCCCCCCCCATTTTCAATAGGACAACTTTCTGCACAAAAATGTTGACTAACTCTATTCCCACGCAAAAAGCCAGCACAAAGCCTGTGCATCACTTAAGTCCTCAAAATAAACTTTATGGGAAAATTAAGTGGAGTAGAGACAGTGAGGTGAACTCCAATGATGCCTTAAAACCACAACTGAGCCCACAGTGACTTCAATGACATTATGTGGGTACAACAGAGTAGCATATTATTCAGCGGGCATAGTATATTTTTTGGGAACTACATGATGAAAAAACCAAGTTCTTGCACTTTGTAAAGCCATTTAGACCCATGCAAAGGGAGTTCAGAGTGAGTTTAACACACTACCATTCTGATACAGTGCTTTTTACACTCATTTCATATAGGTGTGAATGTCTACACAAGACACAAGGCTGTGGAGGATCAGAACCTAGACTATTTTTTAAGTGGCCACAGGATGTCACTGTTGCTGTCACAAACGTAGCTGAGCATATACATTTTATCTTGCATTTGAACTTTTGACTCTAAGAGGAGGACAAAGGTTTTTGAAGTGGAAATTTAGGATGGTAGCAAACACAATTTTAAGCAATTTTAATAGTATTTATTATAGAACTTCTATCAAGTCCCTCTCGAAACCCACTTCTTCCATGATGCCCACAACAAATGAATTTAAGACGTCCCCCCACTCTGGATTGACCAGTGCATCCTATTTTTATGTCTATCTGTTTGAGTACAAGCTTTCATAGGGAGGAACTGTCTCTAGTTGTGTAATGAGCAATCTGAGTGCATTATTGAAATGAAATAAATGAATAATAATGGTAATAATTCTCTCCTATTTCTCTCTCAGCATGGACAAGATCATTTGTTTCCTTTTTTGTGTGCATTCAAAATGTTAACAGATTTATAATGAAGAGGAAGCAAGATATGTAAAAAATAAACACACAAGAAAGAGAGGAAATGGAAACTACAAGCATCCATATGAAGGAACAAAAGACAACTTCCAAATAAGAACAGACATGACTATACTCAAACACATGGTGGTCCAACCATCTTAGACCTATACATGCTGCACTTTATCATGATATTTATTACTAACTAGCTTCAAAGTGCATTCTGTCCTCCATCTAGATAAACAGCTTTATATTTTAATATGAATTTGTATTTTTAAATCCCACTGTTTATAGCAGGTGCCATTAAAACCTCATTAGTTCCCTACTTTGCAGTGTTTGTGGTGTCACAATGTCGCATATGGTAAATACAGCAGGGTATCACAGTTGCTGCAGGTGCCTGGGGTGCTGAATGAGGGGGGTTATAAGTGGTGCATTTACTTATATACATTCTTGAAGCCTTACAACTTGTCCTCTCCAACAGGGGACTTCAGACCAGAGGTTGCTGGAAAGATCTATGTCATCTAGTCATGTTGTATTCTTTTTACATTACAGCTGCAGTAGATCACTTAAACGGCAATCCTGCAATGAGCTCCATGCAGGCATTAATTTCAATTGGGGTCCACATACATGCGGCACTGTCTGCATGGAGCCTGTTGCAGGATCTGGGCCCAAGACCAGTGATTATCTTTGTGTTTTAGTGTAAATGGTATGTTGAGATTTCCAGGCTACAAGGTTTAGCCTCTCAGCAATCAGAGAAGCACACAAGTTTGGTTGTAACAGCAGGAAAAGCAGAAAAGGAGAGGCTTTTTCTTTAGAACATCAGGCTCAAACTGTGCAGAGCAAGTAATATTGTTAATAAGGATACAGGAAAGGCAAAAGTGTTCAATAAATATTTCTGTTCTTTATTTGGAAAGAAGCAGGATAACTTATTCATATCACAGGAGGAGGAGGAGGAAGTGCTTTCTAGTTCATTTGTAACTAAGGAGGATATTAAACTGCATCTACTAGGAATAAACATTTTTAAAGCATCAGACCCATATAACTTGCACCCGAGAGTCCTAAAAAGAGTTGGCTGAGAAGATCTATGGCCCACTGATGTGAATTTTTAATAAATCTTGGAATACCAAGGAAATTCCAGAAGAGTGCTAATGTTGTGCCAATATTCAAAAAGGGTAAGCAGGATGACTGGGTAATTACAGACCTGTTAGCCTGACATCGATCCTGGGCAAAATAATGGAAAAGATAACACGGGATTAAAATTAATTAAGAATTAAAGGATAGGAATAGAATTAATGTCAGTCAACATGGTTTTATGGAAAATAGGTCTTGTCGAACAAATCTGATTTCAATTTTTGTATGAGATTTCAGGTTTGGTTGATAAAGGTAACCGTATAGATACAAGAGACAGACTTTTGTAAAGGCATTTGACTTAGTACCACGTGACATTCTGATTAAAAATTAGCACTATACAGTATCATTAAATCACACATTAAATGGATTAACTGACATTTCCAAATGTAGCTGTCAATGGGGAATCATCACTGAATGGGGGAGTTTCTAATGGGGCTCTGCAGAGATCAGTACGAAGCCCAACCCCATTCAACATTTTCATCAATGATTTGGAAGTAAATATACAATCACTGCTGACAAAATTTGCAGATGACACAAATACTGGCAGAGCATTAAATAATGGTGAAAACAGGGCAGTCAGACAGAGTGATCTAGATTGCTTGGTAAACTGGGCCCACTCAAACAAAATGAAGTTTAATATAGCCAAATGCAAAGTTATATATCTAGGAGCATGAATGCAGGCCGTACATACCTACGGCACAGGGTATCCTGGAAAGCTATAGCTCTGAAATGGATCTCGGGGGTCCACGGTGTACAAACAAGTCAAGACGTGTTCCCAGTGTCATGCTGTGACAAAAAGGACTAATACAATTCTTGATTGTATACATAGGGGAGTAGGAAGTAGGGAATGATTTTACCTCTGTATATGGCATTGGTGAGACTCATGTTGGAATATTGATTCTGGAATACATTTAAAAAGGACGTTGAAAAATTGAAAAGGGAGTGTACAGAAAAGAGCCACAAAAACGATGTGAGAGCTGGAGAAAATGCATTAAGTGAGAGACTTAAAGAGCTCGAGCTGTTTAGCTTATCAAAAAGAAGATTGAGGGCTGACTTAATTACATTGTACAAGGGAGAAAATAGCAGGTACTAAAGAGCTCTTTAATCTAGTGGAGAAAGACATAACAAGAACCAATGGCTGGAAGTTGAATGCAGACAAATTGAAATGAGAAATAAGGCACACATTTTTAACAGTGAGGGTGATTAACTGTTGGAACAAATGACCAAGGGAAATGGTGGATTCTCCATTTCTTGGAGTCTTCAGGTCAAGACTGGGTGCCTTTTTGGAGGATATGCTTTAGCTTAACACGAGTCATTGGGCTCAATACAGGGGTAACTGGATGAAATGCAATGTCTGATCTTCTGTATAATCACAGGCCAAGATGATCTAATGATTCCTTCTGGCCTTAAAACTCTCTAAATCTATGAACTCTATGAAAGTTCTTGATTTTGGACAGCATCTAACTCAAGGGAGAGAGTATGCAAGAGGTTTATTCATCTGTTTCAGATTGTGTCCATGTTTACTAGATAAAAACTTGATCCATTTCTCCACTGAAGGCACTGGCAGTTTTTCCTTGTCATCAATGACAGCTGGACACAGCCCTATGGCAGATGAAAATTTGTAGTAACCCTTCCACGGCTGAGTTTTGTTGCATCTTCTGAAAACACCATATTGAAGAGTCCGGACCCCACGGGGGCACTTGCACTTTAAAATCTGTCCTTGAAGCACAGAACAAAGGTGTGGAGAGACATATTTCTTCCCTCATGCTTGGCTGAGTATATTATGTAGCAACCAAATGGTTAAAAAGTGACTTCATTACACTGACACAGAAAATGGGTGAGAAATGTTATCAAAGAGTATTCACAGGACTCTGGCAGTCACTATTAATTTTACAAGTCTTATGCCCAAAAAATCATTGACAACAGAGCCCAAAGCAGTTTGAGCAGATGTTTCAGGATGGGATTTTGCCATTGACTTCAGTGCAGCCAGGATTCAGTGATTATTTTTGTCTGACAGCTAAATCAGGCCTATCTATATTAGATCCCCTACAAGTGGTGCTCACTGAGCTGCCTCTGTAGCACCATCTCCACAACTCCCCCACCTAACCTCCAGACCAAGCAGAAGTGCCTGAACAGTCGGGAGTGGATGGAAAATAGGTGGGCTGATTTTAGTGACAAATTTTTACTGCTCTTAGCCCAGCTAGGAGAAAATGGGTTCTAGTTGATCTTGTGCAGGATCAGAATTATTCACTGCTTTCCCATCAGTTACACAGGTTCACTTGCTCTACACAATGGTGCTCTCCAGACTGTGCAGCGGACATAATTTTGCTTTACAAAATGGCATTCTCCATGTGGTGTGACCTCACATGCACTGAATGTGTGAGGTCAGCCCACATGGAGAATGCAATTTTGTAGAGTAAAATGGTGTCTTCCATGCAACGTGACTTTTCAAAAGCTCCAGAACACGGTGTTCTGGTGCATTCTGGCTCCACTGCACAGGAATTCCCGACGTGCTTGTCCCTTCACTGTCCTCTGTCAGGCTGATCCAATCAGTAATGTGTTCCAGGTGCTATTTATTTATTGTTGCATTGCTTTCAGTGTATTTTACACTACTCTCCAAATGTTAAATTCTCATTGAAGAATGTTTTGCAGATTTCAAAATGTCACACGGCTGCACACTGCAGAAGTTGTCTGGGGGAGCCAGAGGTTTGGGTATTGGGGTAAGAATCATTTAGGGTTTTTTTACATCCAGGAAGCTAGGGGAAATCGGATTTGTTTTCAGTATCCAGGTGGCAATGGAGATTTTTTGGTCATGGGGAGAAAATGCATATTTTCCTTCCCTTCTCATTGCGTGAAAAGTTGATTTTGATGTGGTTTTAAATTTTGGAGGGGGAAAAAGGGCATTTCCTCATTTCCCACCACAGCATCACTTGACAGCAGCTAGATAATTAGAGCTGGTCAGAAATTTATTTTCTCTTTCTGCAAAAAATCTTGCTGATTCCCCCTCCTCCCCCCATCAACATTTTCTATAGGAAATATTTCGCTGGTTTCGGACAAACATCCAAAAGGAAAGCAGATATTTTCCATGAAAATTTTTGGTGTGTCAAAAATCCAATTTCCCCAGTTTTCAATTGGCACTATGGATGGCCCTCTGCTCCCCACCTTCAATATCTGCCACTGCATCCAATCCATTAGCTTGATTTTTCTGCTAAATTGAACTTAGAGGTGTTAACAATGGAAGTCTGATGAGTATCAAACAACATTATTTCACTTCTGATCCTTTTAGTAAAAATATCAAACTAACATGCTTGTCATTGTTGGAGACAGTAGCAGGTACAGGCTCAGGGTATTGCAAGTCCCCCAAAGTAATTCAATTTTGCTTCTGCCATAATATAATTTTTGTTTCAGAGGAATAGTACCTTATTATTAATTATTTGTATTGTGATAGCATGTTGAGGCCCCAACAGATAGAGCCCCATCATGCTTTACCATGTATATACAAATAGTAAAATATGTTCCTTGCACTGAAAGACTTACAATCTAAATAGACAAGACAGAATAAGGGTGGGAGCAGAAAAGAGAGGCACTGAGGGGTCAAGTGATTTGTCACAGAACAAGTCAGTGGCAGAGGCATGAACAGAACCCAGGTCAAGTGAGCGTTGGTCCATCCATTCCAATATTTTGGAAGGAAGATATTCAAATAGATGGACCAATGGACCATCCACTCCCATATCCTGCTTCCAAAAGTAGTCATTAACTGAAGCTCTGGGGAAGGCAACCTCCTTCTCCTTTAATACATCTTTGATCCACCTGACCAATTATGTATTGCTGCACAGTTGGTCTGCAAACACTCTAGCTGAGCTTGTATAATTATTATTAATCATCCTAAAATTACACAACCCTTGTTGAAGTCTATCCACAGAATTTCATTGGCTTTTTTAAACTGGAACAACTTTTTAAACTGGAATAACTTTTTAAACCTATTTCTGGGAGGTATATAGTGTTCCCAAAGACAATATATGTTTACTTCCGCCTTCAACCCTGAAAGTGTTACCTAAAGGGTGATGGCCTTGTCAATGGGAGTTGATGGTACTCAGCATCTCCAGTAGTTGCTCACCATCTTGCAGAACTGAACCCCAAGTATCAACCACAGACAAGGACTCATTGGGAGACAATGAAGCCATCTGAGGATCTGGCTCTATGTGACTTGCCCAAGGTCATAGAGGTAGCCTCCCAAGTGTCAGTCTGGTGCCTTGACCCCAAGACTATCCTCCCCGACCCATCCCCTTGCAATGAACAGAGGCAACACTTGTCAGCAAAGACCAACTGGGAGTGTGAAAAAATTGTAGCACAAAACATGGCCAGCCTCATTTTGCACTAAAATAAACAGCCCTGCAGAATGTTAACTATTTATGCTGTAATAAATGTCACATAGCAATTTAATGTGTGTGAACTGTGGGGTGTAGACTTAGATACCATGAAGGGGAAAGAGGTGGGGAGAAAAAAGAAGGACTTGGGAACAATAAAAATATACTTTAATTAGTTTTAGGTTCCATAGTAACTGAAATACATTAAATTTACAAAAACTCCCTTAGCTGGTCCATAATAATATAGCTCCCAACTAAAGTGGAATCCAGAGTTAGAACAATCCTTTGTCTTGGCTGAATAGGCAAGTTGTGTGGGCCTCTGATATGTTTCCTGACTAAACTTGGTCTTTGGCTTAGGCAGAGGCCTGCTCTAGCCTGGAAGCTCACAGGCTGAATTAGGGTAACCAGACAGCAAGTGTGAAAAATCAGGACAGGGGGTGGGGGATAATAGGAGCCTATAAAAGAAAAATACCCCAAAATTGGAACCTCTGGTGACCCTAGGCTGAACAAAGCCTTTCAAGGGTGGAGCAAATCTTTCAAGGTTGGGCAGGCTTATGTCTAAGCCAGGCTTCTAAGCTAATGTCAGTCAAAGGCTAAGTCTTCCAAAGCCAGAGCAGGCCCCGTCAATCCAAGGTCCCAGAACAGACGGAATCTTTCAAAGCTGAGTCTTTATAACTCCTGACCCCTGCCCTCTCTTAACTCCAGCCAATCAGCAATCATTCATCACAATAGAGCTACACGAATTCAGTAATAACGTGGGCAAAACTAATGGTGCATAAAGGTATAAGCAGAATCACTGAAACTCATGGGGCAGATCAGCAATGAAATGATGTCTGTAATGAATCAAAAAACAACCTTCACATTTTGCCCTACAAGGCTTTAAAATTAAATTCTAAAATGCCCCTGCACAAATATTTACTGGTGAACACCACCATAATCTTCTTAAATATGTTTCCTCAGAACTCACATTTCCCCTTGCACTTCTCCATCAACCACTTGCCATGCTGCTGCTTACCTGTTATGTAGCTGATGGTAGAACTGTCACAGCAGCTCAATTCTGGGTCTCCCCAAGTCACCATGGTAACCCGAAAGTTGTAATACCAAGCGGGCAATAGATTGGCTATTTTCTGTAAAGGGACAGCAAATGGCAAGTCACTGCTCAGTAAAGATTTTGTCAATGTAAAACATGACTGCCACTTGCTATAGAATAGATTTACTGCTGCCACAATGGGTACAATGCTGCTGACCTGAGTGGAACAGTGCCCACTTAAATCTGTGGTTAATCTAGCCCATTTTGAACTTTTAGATTTGTAAACTCTTTTCAAAGAGAGAGAAAAAAGCAGGGCTAAATTCTGGCAGATGCTTGAAAAGAAATTTTACTCTTAACCCTCTTTTCTCCCAGAAAGGAATGCAATAATACATTAAAAAAGCTACAATAGCATGGATCCATATCCTGTTGCAAGACTGCTGCCATTCGTACATTCCATTCCCATGAATCATTTATACCCTGATCTTGTACTCACCCTAAGGATGTGTGTGCCTTTACTCCAGTGAGTACACCATTGCGCACAAGGAAGCTATTCGCTTGAGTAAAGATATTCATATATGTAAGTGTTTGCAGGACCGAGGCTTTAATTTGTGCAATGGGCTATGCACAGAGACCATTTCCTAGCCATGGCAACCATATTGTGTACAAACATACACGTGGGAGCAGGGATTTGCTCATGTCCCCACACTCTCATTGATTTCTAGAGCTGGTCCAAAGTTTTGTGATGGAAGTTTCCTGTCAGAAAATGCTCATTAGGCAAAATCAAGATGTTCCATGGGAACACGTTGATTTCAATGAAATTTCATTTAAAAAAAGTAGAACTTCTTGTTTTGATTTGTTGTTTCAAATTTCATAATATAAATATTCTCTGTTTTTCTGTCATACTCAAGACAAGGGGGGAATTCAACCCAGAATATTTTTAACTACATTTTCATAAAACCATTTTTGATCTCAGCCAAGTCAATATGTTTTTTTTAGGGTTTGTTAGTGTTGCCCCAAAATGCATGATTCTGCAATATCACAGATGCCAGAATGGTAATGGTTACAGGGAAACTTCAGGGGCAGTCTTATAATGGTGCATTGTTGGACATTTCTAGTGAACCCCCAAAAGCCAAAGACTTAAAAGACTGAAAATAATGTTATAAAGTTAGTTAAACCATAGTGCCATGCAGCCTCGTCAGATATGGGATTCAACATTTATTATTTAATTTTGCAGTTCATCTTTAAGAAACTTTCACTTTCATGTCAACAGTATAGTGACAGCTAGGCTTCGCAGAATTCAATTTTCATTTTCTTACAATGTTGACAGACAACATCAATGTTTATTTTTAAGCATTTTTTGGAATTTTAGCTATTTAAATTTTCACAGTTGTGGGAAATTACATGGGGAGTCAGAGAGTTATTGAATGACAGCGGACATGGAGATTAAAAAAGCTAAAGCTTTAAAACACACCAATTGTCAACATCTCACATCAAAATATACAAAATAAATATCCTTACATCAAAGCAATAAGTTCTTAAGTAGCATTCTTCTTACTTTGCCTATCTGTAAATTTAAATTATCGTTGATGGAAATATTTTTTCATCATTGTGTGTGTGTTTGGTGAAATCAACATTTACCAATAAAAATCTAATCCTTCCATGCAAAGATTTAAATTGAGATAAAAGAGCTCTAACTCCTCATCTCTGCATGTACCTCCCATCAATATCAACTAGAATTGCACAAAACAGTGGACAATATTACTTGTCAACCATCTTAACTTTTGAACTTCATATTAAATGTCATTATTTCTCATTACTCGAATTCTGCTGCATCATGATAATGACAAATTAATTACTCATTTAGTAGTTTATTTTGCCTTCTCGTTTCCTTAGAGTTTTACATTTTAAATTTAGAGGTGCATGCTCAATTCCAATTAAACCAGTGTTACTACAATGACTACATGAATGGTGTTATGCATGAGTCACAAATGATTATAGTTTTCAATAGGAGCAACAGCTATTGCTATCCTTGTTTTTTTCAAACTCAACTTTCTGAATAATTATCCTCTTCAGATGAAATTGTCTATGTTTTTTCTCAGTCCAAAGGTAAAGTTTTAACAAAATTTATCCATCCCCCCTTGACAGCTAGAAAAGTGTGGAGGGGGGAGGAGGGGGGCGCGGATGGGGACGAAGTGTACACTTCTGCTGAAAGTCCTCAATCTTGCAAAGCTTTATGCATATGCTTAAGCACATTTGCAGGTTCAAGGCCTTTAAGTCTCTTTTGGCATGCACATAACTCAAAAACAAAATATGCCAGATGGCTCACTGACATTATCAATGCTAGCTATGTAGATGGGGCTTTATGCTATTTCCTCATGGAGATGCTACAGTTGCAAAAGTTTTTGACCACACAACTGTGGAAGTGCACAGTAAATTCAGTGGGGAGAGGTTAATGTTTAATTCTGTAGGGTCAAGTCCTCTCACCTTGAACACAGCCCTAGCAAATGAACTTTGCACAGGGAAGTCCTGCAAGGACTGAGGGTGTGAAGGAATCTGCCCTGAAGTCTTGGAACACCAAACACCCATGGGCTACAGTGCCATATATAGCCACTGAACCCACCCGCACTCCAATGGAGGGAAGGTCCATCTACTATCCCCTTACTAGGTATACAATTAATAATTTGCACATGCATTAACTTTACCATGGTTTTCTGGCATTCCCTGGGGAAAATCTCTCTCTAATATCACGGTAAATCTCTCTATCACATGTGGAAAACATCCAGGGTTTAATGGAATCTGGTGTGTCTGCTGGTCAGTGGGCAAAATCTGAAAGAAACATTACCAGGAGCAAGCACCATACATGCAGGTGTGGGTGATAATCTGTAATGGTTACTTTACCACTGATGCAGTTAAGGAGACAGTAGCTGCAATTTCATAGTAGGTCGTCCACTCAGAGGTCATCGTTGATGGGTTGAAGTAAAACATTTCTACAACATATTTCCTGAACACCCCAAGGTAAGGCCTGTTCCAACTGAGAATCACAGCTGTAGGTCCCAAAGGGTAAAGCATCAAATCCTTTATTCCAGTGGGTACTATAAAACAAGAAACTGGGGTTATTCACATCGTCATTAGCTACTACACACATTTTCACAACTAGTTTTCTCTCCCCTTTAACCATCTATTCCTATTTTTGGTCCATTCTGGCAATAATTATTCCCATGCATATGCCTAACAGCTTGGTTGGGACTCCACACAGAAGTAACAACTTGTAGCATTGGTCCCTCAATTCTTATAGGCCTAAACTTTCAAAAATGACTACAGATTTTGGGTTCTTCCATTTTGGGGTGCTCAACTTGAGATGTCTTGAAGAGATCTGATTTTCAAAGGAGGATGCTCAGACCTTTTTTGAAAATCAGGATCCTTTAAGGTGTCTCAATGTAGGTAGTCAAAAACAGAGGCATTAAAAATCATGATACTTGTGAAAGCGTAGACAATAATAAAGAATACTTTCACGTCTATTCAACCGTCCATGGAAAATATCCGAAAGTGCTTTACAAGCATTAGTTAAGATTCAGAATGCAAGTGTTATTATCCCTGTTTTATAGACGGTGAAATTGAAATAGAGAGAGGTCAAGTGATTTGAACAAATCTCTCACACAGCCAGACTCTGCAACCTTTATTCATGCTGGAAAGCACTTACTCAGATGTGTACTTCAATGGGACTACCTGCTTAAGTAGGTATTCCTCAGCATGAGTAAAGGTTGCAGAGTTTAATCCACTCTGTGTAGGTGCCAGAGCAAAGAATAAAACCCAGAATGTCCAAATGTATAACAGTGCACAAAATCATCCATTCCCTCATAAATCTATCCTTTCAGCACCTTCTCAGAATCTGTTGATATCTTTCTAATGAAACTATGACATTGAGGATGAAGAGGAGAACTACGTTTTGTAAGTGTTATTTCTCTTATTTTTGCTTTAGCCTTAACCACCACCAATAATTTCACCAAACCAAACCTTTTAAATAGGAATTTGAATTATGAATTTGCCCTTGTTTGAATGTGTCACACATTATTGTTTGATTCCATGACACCCTTAATTTTGTTACAAAATCCAGATTAGAAGATATGCCTAGAAATGGCCTTTGGGCAAGAACTTTTGGGTTATGGGGGGGGTTGGGTGGGGGGAAACTTAGAGAGGTTTACCTCTTTTTGTTTTTTTTTGGTTTAGCTTTTCAAATAAAAGCAGAAATTTGAAAATGTTTCAAGTCTTTACAGCTGGTGAACAAAACTTTAGCAGCCCAAATATTTGTGAAAAACATGGGAAATTTGTAAAATATGCCCAATATTTGATATTTCATAGAAGTTGGGCACAAGTTGTCTCTAATAACCTCCCCAAACTGCCCCCCCCCATTAAAAATACCTTCCTCACCAATTTATAGACTATTTATTTGGACATATTACCTTAGACCCAGATCCTGCAATTGGCAGTGTGTAAGCAGACTGCTTGGAGTACATGGGCTCTGGGCAGGTCTTATTTAGTTAATTTTGTCATTTTCTCTTTTTTCCTTCCATCAAGGACAGTGCGTAGTAGTTTGGAGAAGAAACAAGGAGCCCTACTTTCTAGTCACCTGCTCTCTTACAAGGCATACGACAAGCCAGTGACAGAACCAGGAAAAAAACCCAGATCTCCTGAATCTCAGTCCAATGTCTTAACCACGGTGGCACACAGTATCCCTTACGGGGCATTTTCTCAGAAAACCTGGTAGCTTAAAGTTAGGTTCCTAAATCCATGTACAAATTAATGGCTTAATTTCCAAGGTGCTGAACTACTCTCAGCTCCTACTGAAGACACCAACTCTCATGGATGCTCCGCACCTCTAAAAGTGGTTCTTAAGTATAAATATAGGTCCCTAACTTCAGCTCCCTCATTTCTAAATCTTAGGCATAACTCCTTGTATGTTGGAGTGAAAGCCTAACCCTCTAATAGGCTGTGTCACTCTTTTCACTGAAGACACCTTCAGATACCTCCTGCACTTCTTCCCATCCTCAGTAATGGAGTTAAACACATGAAAAATAAACTATTTTAACCACCAACATGGCAAGCATACCCAGCAAAACATGATACACTTCTGAACAGACTCTGGATATGTCTACACTGGGGCTGAAGGTGTAACTTCAAGCTGGGGTAGATGTATCTGTGCTAGCTTGGATCAAGCTAGCACGCTAAAAATAGCAGTGCAATCCTGGTGCACAGGTGGTGTGATGGGCTAACCATCCCAAGTACAATCCCATCTGGAGTGACTAGACTGTCCTTTCGCCTGTGCAGTCGCAGCCACACTGGTATTTTCAGCTTGCTAGCTTGACAAGAACTAGCGTGGGTATGTCTACCCGAACTAGAAATTACATCTCCTGCTCCAGTGGAGGAGCACCCTAAGAGATTTAATAGATAAGCTGTTCAAAACAAAAAGTCAGTTTGAATAGTAGACGCATGGGTTACCAATGGCAAATGTAACAGGATCAGAAGGAGGTCCAACCAATGGGCCTTTACGTAAATAAATCACAACCTGGTACTGGGCACCGGGAACAAGATTTTCAATGATGCTGTTGCTTGAATTCACCTATCAGAAGGGGAACAAATAAGATACAAAGTATTCCTTTGGTGAGTAAGAAAGAAAAAAGGAGGGCCGAAATAGTACTCACCTAGCTGCATTTCAGCGGCAAAGGACATAATTCTGAACCTACTGAAGTCAATGGCAAAATGTTGATTCATTTCAGTGAGAACAGGATAGTCAAATGCTGAGATGGGAATTGTGACTGCTCAGCCCATTGAGCTCACTCACAATTTGACCCAGAGAATGTAACACTCTTTATTACTGCAGTACAAGGTCAGTCATGACAACAAGGAGCCATTTACATTGAGTATATTGTACGGTAATGAGACTAGAGCACCAGATTCCTCTCAGGTGTAACTCTGTGTTTACATACTGTGGTTTCAATAAACATCTGAAATTACTTTGTGGCCATCTAATTCATCTGCAGCTATGTGAGCTAAAGGCAATATTATAATAGTATTCTAACCTCATGAGAGTCAGGGTATCAGTTGATTGCATGGGTCAGAAAGGAATTACCCTCTCCCGCCCCTCAAGTACAGCACTGTACAAATTAGCTAGGGGGCTTATGGATTCCCCCTCCCCCCCCCCTATTTTGAAGCATCTGGTACTGAAGCATCAGCTTAAAAACCTCAGCTCTGAAGCATCAGATACTGGTCAGTGCCAGAGGCAGGATGCTGTCTAGATGGTGGATTCAGTCTGATCCAGTAAATGTACAGAGCAGCCTTGGGAAAAGTATCTTTTACTGCATCTTTTCAGTGAATAGGGGAAAGATGTTTTTTCACCAACAATCTTAGCGCAATTTCTAACAATTTGTATTACCAGCATGAAATTGTTCAAGCAGCTGTCAGCGTGAACAATGTTTTATGACAGTGGAGATGGTAGTGCAACTGTCAATCTACGGAGCTCCTTTAGGAAGGTAGGATAGCTTTTATTTATAGGCAACGGGAGAAGGAATGGATGAACCAGGTCTTACTTCTTTCTGCTTGCCAGGGAGAATTCAAACAAATGGCCATCAATAATAAAGGCAGAAGAACCTGGCTGAGTTCTGGTTAGAGGTGGGCAAATGTTCAATGAAAATAGTTTAAAAAGCAATACAAATACTTTCCAAGCAAATTCTCAGTTTTTATTCAAATAAATGGTTATGAATACATTTTTGCAGTGCTCATGAAGCTGTAATTCAGGCCCACATTCTAACCACAAAGTTAAATTAACCCAAACCAGAACTGCTTCCTCTAGTCTACCTCAAGATTTTTTGTCATCACATCATAAACCACTTCTGGTGGACCTGAACCCACAGAAGTCTGAATTCGTATTGGCTGGGATGCAGCTAGAACACGGGCAGTTTGGATTATTTGTACTTGCACCCTTTATTCAGATCTGTCACTACAATGGCCTGAATTGAAACCTCAGATCCCATCATCCTCAACTTTGGGGACATTCAGAGCTAGATATTATTCTACATGAAAACTTTAGCCCCAGTTTAAGAAAAAACTTATGCATGTGCTTAAAGTTAAAAATACATTGAAATGCTTTCATGAATAGGAATGGACTTCAGCACATGCTTAAAGTGTTTTAATGGATCAGGGCCTTATGGATGGTGTCTTATCTCTGCTTAGACTTGTGTCACTGCAGTGTTTTGGATTATTGTCGCAATAATGTTCATAAGTGTATAACATCGCTTGTGGACTGATGGATAAAATGTTGCTTCTTACACAACCCAGTGAGCACTATTATAAGGCGATTTACTGAATGTATTTCTTTTTCTTACTGTATTTGAGGAGTCTATATTTTCTTCCCCTTACCTCGGTGCAATAATGCTTTTCAAGTCTTTGACTCTCCTTTTGCTTCTGGCAGGTCAGTGACACAACAGACACTATCGTGTTGTTGCTGCTGCTGTTTTGTGAAGACGTCCAGGACATTAAGGCAGTGGTAGAACTTAGCACAGTCACACTCACGTGCTGGGGCTTTTCTGTCAGTTCTTCAATCCATTCCCCTGTCGGACCTGAAACATTCCCAGAGAAGAACACATAAGGCAGGCCAAATCCCTGGCTTTACCCTGTGCATTTAGAGTGCCTGCATTTATGTCTTTTAAAACCTTCTGCTCTTAGAAGTCAATTTCATGATAGTGAAAGGTGCTGAATTGACAGCCCATTACACCGACAGACCTGGGACAGAACTGACAACAGCAGCAAGAGCTCCCCACACTGCCCCACCAGTAAGATTCACTGCTATACTACAATGTCGTTTGGTCTCCATGCCCAATCAGCGCTTGGTCTCTGCTGCGGAGATGGCCCATTAGTGCCAATAGCAACAGGGAATTTTGTGATACGGACCCCAGGACACAACAAACAGGACTGAAACCACCAATTCATTTCAGTATTTGTAGATCAGCACAGACAGGAGAAGGGTCATCAGGATGTCTATGTGGTCACCGAGTACGTGTAGGGGTTGCAGCTCTTATTCTAAGCCCAGGAACTTGAACAGTGGCTGTGCAGGAACTGCAGAGCTTCCCCCATGCCCTGCCCACAGTTTGGGAGTGTGTTCCACTCCCCAACTTCTGTACATTTCACCACACAAAGCCCAATTAGCTAGATAAACTGGGAGGAAGGGGTAATTTCTCCCCATGTGCTTCCTGTGGAAACCTCAGTCTTGGCAGGCCACCAGAAAGGCTTATAAAATCCACCTAGAATACTAAGAGTCTTGAGTCTTTTGGGATTTGACAGGACAAGCAAAGAGCACTGAACAAATCTCTGTGCTGTCCTACAGGCTTTCAAAGCAAACTGAAAACAGCATTTCATAGAATATCAGGGTTGGAAGGGACCTCAGGAGGTCATCTAGTCCAACCCCCTGCTCAAAACAGGGCCAATCCCCAGACAGATTTTTGCCTAAGATCCCTAAATGGCCCCTTCAAGGATTGAACTCACAACCCTGGGTTTAGCAGGCCAATGCTCAAACCACTGAGCTATCCCTTGCCCCCATTTGTTCCTAGATGTACATACACATTTATGTGTGTTTTAATACAGTACAGTTAAATGTAAATGTGTACATCCAAGAACAAAGAATATAGGTCATACATACATAGGGAACTCTATCCAGGGAAGCAGTGACTCTGAAAAAGATTTGGGGGTCACGGTGGGTAATCAGATGAAGATGAGCTCCTAGTGTGACGCTGGGGGCCAAAAGAATGAAAGCGATCCTGGGATGCATAAATAGAACAATCTTGAGCCAGAGTTGAGGGCTTTTATCTCTATATTGAGACTGCTGCTGGAGTATTGCATCCAGTTCTGATCCCAAAATTAAAGAAGGAGGTTGAAAATTGGAGAGGGTTCAGAGAAGAGCCATGAGACTGATTTAAGGACTAGAAAACATGCCTTACGGACTCAAGGAGATCAATCTATTTATCTTAAGAAAGAGGAGGTGAAGGGGTGACTTGATTATCTATAAGAACCTACATCAGAAACAAATATTTAATAATGGGCTCTTCAGTCTGGTGGAGAAAGGTCGAATGGCTAAGTTGAAGCTATTCCAATGGGAAATATGGTGTAAATTTTTAAGGGTGAGGGTAATTAACCATTAGAACAATTTAACAAGGGTCATGGCGGATTTTCCATCACTGCCTATTTTAAAATCAAGATTGGATGTTTTGCTAAAAGATCTGCTTTAGGAATTATTTTGGAGAAGTTCTATGGCTTGTGCCATGCAGGAAGCAGGGCCGGCTCCAGGCACCATCACAGCAAGCAGTTGCTTGGGGCGGCCAACGGAAAGGGGCAGCACGTCCGGCAATTCGGCGGCGGGTCCCTCTGTCCTCTTGGAGGGAAGGACCTGCCGTCGAATTGCTGCTGAAGAATGAAGCGGCGATGGTAGAGCTGCCGCCGAAGTGCCACCGATCGCACCTTCTTTCCCCTCTCCCCCACCACTTGGGGCGGCAAAAACACTGAGCCAGTCCTGGCAGGAAGTCAGACTAGATTATCATAATGGTCATTCGGCCTTAGAGTCTATGAATTACAAAACCCCACCTTCTGCATTTCATATAGCCTGTAAACATTTATTACATTACTGTATCATTTTAATACAGATAATGCTCTTTGTACACAATGGGCCATATTCATCCCTGGCATAGCTCCCCTTACGCATTACATCTTTTGAATATTACATTCCCTGGAGGGCACCAACCCTGGCTAGAAGGAATTGTAATTTATTAGGAATAAATTGTATTGTATTTAACAGGAATAAATAAGATTAATTTATATCCCAAACTTTGAGGAGGAGGGTTGGAAATGGGATAGTATAGTCCTGTATTATTGCTATCAAATTTAAAATATAGTATATGACTCTGCTGTTATGCAATATCTATTACTAGCTGGTATCTGAAAAAATTCACAGGGAGGTGAAATTGTCATAGCAGAGGTACTGTGGCACCCCTTCTTGCATCAGCTGTCCCTCTCTTCTTCTCTCTCTTTGGTCTCCAAGAGCAGTTCATTGTTCAGTGACAGGATTTCTGAAACTTTGAAAAAAACATTCAGCTCAAGGCAGCCATCTGGCATGGAAAATTTCATCATGAATAGTTAAAGTTTGGAAAGGTTATAAGCAACTAAAACCAGGGGATTATAATGGAAAGTGTTAGGCATTATAGACAAGAACTATAGGCAATGCTGCCAACTGCAGCTATGATATCTAGCTGTAGTATTCTGTCTCTAGATAGGTGCCATTCTCTCAGAGTGGAGGCTGGCTGGTGCTGCACACATTTCTTATCTGTATGGGATTCTGTAGACTGCATTTTTCTGTTCATTTTCTTTTGTGCAATGTTTGTCTCGCTTTCTTGTTGGTGGAGTTATTCAGGCATCTCATGCACTTGTGTCTGAAAATGTGAACTTGGTCCTCAGATGGGTAAAAGTCTGAGCTAATCTACCTGTATCTCACTTATTGACCTAGCTGTAAGTCGTGATCTAGATTTAAGCTATATGGTGATATTTCACATGGATTACACTGTTTTATAAAACCTACAGTTAACCCTCACCCCCAGAATCCTACAAGTAAATAATCATATAGTTTTCCTACTTCTGAATTTTGCAGGTTGGGCCTATCTTTCATTTTGTCTGCAAAAGATTCAAGTTCCATGTTCATGTGAGTTCCTTCTTGAACAGCTAGCAATGACTCTACCAGATATTTACCCAACATTTGATTCCTAACACAGACAAGATTGCAGGATAAAGCCCCATGAGGGCAGGTTTGCTTACCTGGTTTCAGTGTATCTTGTTCCCTGCCATATGAAAATTCATGGAGACCAGGCTCTGTTGGGAGTGTTGTAGGTTGCAAAGGTGCCTACTAGTTTGATGAATAACCTCATTCAGTGTTTCATTTATCACACCTTATATACTGTTAAAGATACATTGTATGGGTGAAATCATCACTTAGATACTTACTGATGTAAAAACTAAGCGTTTTGGCTGATTGACTTCTCCGAATTTCACAAGATCCAGAAGAACTAAAGGTTGTCACAGATAACTTATATTTCCCCGGTTCTTTCAGTTCAGCAATAAATTCATGAGTATCCTCACCTACCGTCAAAAATTCTGTGGAGTTCTCTAAATCAGGGAAGAAGAAGAAAAAGAAGTGTGAATTAATTGAAATTTGAGAGGGCTCTGGCTACCGAGGAACTGATTTGTATTGGATATGCTAATGCTGCCTCTGCTGCAGGATGAAAAGGTATTGAAGAGGTCTGGATTTATGCAGGTAGTTTTATTCCCTTGCTGTCAGCCCAAGAATAATTAATGACCAAGGCTCACGTATAGGTATAAAGTAATAATAGACCATGGTCAAAATTTCATTCAGTAACACTGATGATTAAGTAAGATTGTCGTGACCATGAAACACTTGAAAGTGAAAAACAATGTAGTGGGGAAGAAAAGAGTTTGCTATTTTTTCTTCTCTCCCCTTATTGTTCTGAAAAATTTCCCTGCCCCAAACAGCAGAAAGTCTAAGAAAACTGCTGTCAAAAAGGGTCAGTTGAAAAATCATCTGGAGAAGTGGATGAAAAAATCTCTAGCGCAGGTTACCTCACTGTTGTTTTATGATACATTAAAGGCCCTCTCCCATATCCCACCAACCACCCCCTAAACACCCTACAGAACATGTTTTTCAGCTTTCCATTTAGATAAACTTTTGCCTGAAGATAGCCTATATTTTCTCTCTCTCTTTCTCTCTCTTTTACTTTAGGTTCCATAGGGAAACTTCTCCACAAGCAGGGATAGCTGGATGATGCAATAGATCTTTTTAATCTCTACATTCTATGGGCTTGATTCTGCTCTCACTGACACCAGTGTAGATATGGAGTAACTACAATGAAGTCAGTGGAGTAATCTTTACACCACTGTAAAACTGGTGTAAAAAAAAAGAGAATTAAGTGCTATGATCCCTTCCCTCCCCCGCCCACCCCAACTCCCAGTTTTTATCACTTAGGACTTGTAGACACGGGGAAGCTGTTGCAAAATAAGCTAGTGTGTGAATTTAAAAGCACAAGAGCTATTCCACAGTAACTCCCCACACAGACACTTTTATTGTGCACTCAGTGCCTTTTTGTGCTTAAGCCACTTCCAAAAGCTATTCCACAATAGCTATTTTTGGCTAGCTCTTAGGTAGACAAGCCCTAAGGATATTTACATGAAAAGTTGATCCATGTTGTTTAATCCATGTTGTTGATCCATGCATTGTTCATGTCCAACCTGAAGTCCCCATGCTTTGCTTGTGAGCCTCATAATCAACTCCTAGGGAGCTTGTGACTTCACAATAGATACAGCACTTAGACTCGACAAAAGGAGTAAACAGTATGCACATGTGAAACTCCTGTGCAACAAGAATCCTATTGAAAGCATCTTTAGTAGTATAAAAAGATGAGATATTTAAAAATAATAATGTACAGGGCAACACTCTTACAGTGAACTAAGATAGTGGGCAGAACCTCTTCACTATGGCCCAAAATCAAGTTGTCTCTTCTGTGCGTGTATGCAAGAAAAAAGCTGGCCAAGCGGCATGTGACTCTAGCTTCCTCAAAACCCCTGAGTTCGCACTCCATGGTCAAAGCTATAGAAGGGTGTTTCAGAGGGGTGTTCCAGGGTCCTCCTTAACCCAGAAACCCTGTCTCTTACGGAAATTACTCCTGATTTGGTAGCTCCATATGAGACTACAGCCTGGTCACAATGCAGATTTATGTTAATGCTGCTTTGCCAGTAACAACAAGCTTACCAATTCTCATGATTTTATTGCGAGTCTTGCAATATTTGGTGTTTTTCATAATGCCTCAGATCATGTTATTTTGTAAGAATCTCAGCTTTCATTAGAAAGAAAGGGGGGCGGGATTCATTTTGGCAGAAAAAAAGCTTGAAAATGTGAACCAGAAAGGCTCAAAACCCTAGAAGGCAAATAAAAAAACCCAAATTTTAAATTCTCATGATTCTTGAACACTTGGAGTGAGCAATAATAATGTAGCCTGAGCTTTTGCCCAGAACGCAAAGTGAATCAAAGTGAATTTATTAATACAATATTTGGTTAGCTCTCATTACAAATGTGTGTGAGTTGCACAAGTATGAGCTCAGAGCAGCTGAGATCTGGTTCCCATGTTTAGATTTCATTTCTCCATGTCACTGCACTCACTACTGGTCCTGAATGAAATAAGAAAGATCATAGCAGGTGGAAACAGAAAGGACCTATTAGAGCATCACGTTAATCTCTCCTGACAATGTAGGTCTTCAGCAGGGAATATGTAGACTATGTCAGAAATTAAATTGACGCTATGCTTCATCTTAGTCACGAAGAACCCACATGATACAGGAGAACTTCTTGTAGTATTTCCAGCCTGACCAGAAACAAGAAACACCGTATATTATACAACGAATGCATATTCTTATCTCCATCCCAGTTTTGCAGACACAAGAAATCTGAATTAAAATACTTAAGGTTTGCTATCCCCTAATTATTCTGAGGAGAAGAATTCACCACTAGGAAGGATATAAAAAAGGCCTGGGTTTTACTTTACCTTCTCTTTCAATGTTAATATGAAATCCATCAAATGCCGTGGGTGGTTTTGGTGGCAACCAGCTTAGCACCATTTGCACAGGGAGGAAAGATGGAGTTCCTGATGTAAGTTTCCCTGACATGCTGGCTGTACTGGTGTTCTCATATTCACTGGGAACTACATTGACAAACTCATCTTCACTTTCTGACGAATCAGCTTCATTAGTCCACCAGTATGGTTGGGATGTAGTTGTGTAATCAGTGCTGTTATAGTGGTAATCAGGCCATGCGTAAGAGGTGTTTGCTGAGGGAATTTCAGTGGGGTCATTAGAAAAATGGGTAAGTTTATCTTGCCCTATTACATCCTGTGGTTCCATGAATGATTCTTCTGGGAAATTCCCACTGTGTTCCTCCCAGTTATTCTTGTTCATATGTACAATCTGGACAGAAATATTTCGAGGAGGGTAGGGAACTAGAAGAGAAAAGATTTAAAAAAAAAAGTATGTTTAATATACCCCTACAGTGGTTAGTTAATTCATCATGGAAATTAGCATGTCTAGTTTGCAGCAAGAGAAAATACACAATATTTTGAAATTCTTTGTTCTTTCTATTAAGATTCTTTTCTTCTTATACAGGTATAAGCCAAGACTAACTCCATGTGGGTAAAACTAACATAAAGGGAGAGAAGAATCAGGGCTAGAGCGTACAGGAATGTAGTAATGTAGATGTGGGGACACTGTAATAAATTTGCTCATGAATAGCCCAACTAAGTTGCTCTGATGTGAGAACATGAGTAAAAATAATCAAGCGTGTGTTTGTAAGTTGGGCTCTTTGTTTCTTTCGTTGTACCTTTTAAATCCTCTTGTACATGGAAAATTATTTTTGTGGAACTGTGAAAGGGTTGAGAAATACAGAAAAAATATCTTAATACACCGCACAACAACTCATGATGTAAAATGTCATCCTGATCACTATATGGCTTTTCCCTCATAATTTTAGCAGCCAGCTTTGTGCAAACATCTAGAATGAAGTTAACACTTTATGTCAAGGGAAAGCTTGATCTTAAAATTTCAGATGATACACAGCATGGGTTTCTAACTGGAGCATTTTGTACAATAGCTGCTGTAATAGATTGCAACCACATTCAGTACCTTTGTGGATTGTACTGTATTAAATTTATGAATGTTCTGTGTAACATTGTGGGCTAGGAATTGTATTTACCTTAATGGGGGGAGGATTACTGCAGTTCATCCAGGAACTGAAAAACAGAGGGGAGTGATTACGGAGATCCCTGAGATTGTAAACAGCTCCAGAGAAGTATTACCTCTTGGGTGGTTGTTATATACTGGTTCCAGCAGGTACGAAAGGCGCAAGGGGAATAAAGAAAGGGCTTTTGGTATAAAAGGCTGAGTTTAAACAGTAGGGGCCCCAACACTTGCTGAAAGGTTGGAAGGACTTCGGCCTGTCAGGGCCCCATAGGATTGATGGCCAATTTCTGAACCTTTTGTTATCTGTTGTATGTTTTCTCTCTATTCCTTTACCCTTAAATAAATATATTCTGCTGTGGAAAGAGTTGTGTGGTAATTTGTAACTGCTGGCAAATTGCTTCTTATCCCTGGAGAGAAAGCCTAGAATATCTTGTTTTAGGCAGTATGTACTTTTTATAAGCAAATTTCATAATGGAAACATTGAGACATTACCCCTTGCACAGTGTTGCATGTAAACATGCTGTCAACGGTATATATACACATTTTCTTCACCTGTTCTGTGCTGTTTGGGTTCATGCCTGACACCACTATATTCCACTAGGGTGCTTTTGTTGAATGTTGCTTCCGACACCAACTGAAATGTGATGTTGCTGTAGCATATTCCTGGCAGCCAGTGATTGAAAACTGTTTTACCTTTAAAGAAATCTGTAGAAGGGCAAAAAACACACAAACAAAAAACCAACAACCCGACTTACATTAAATGTTCACTTTCAGATAACATGGTGGCACACTTTAAACGAGTGGTGTCTTGGATGTTTAACATAGGTTAGCTCAGTCTAAGTGATAAAATCCCAATAATTGAGTTTGCCAGCGTTTTTCCTGATTGTCAAAGGTACTTAGATGCAAAAAGCAGCAAAATGAACATGAACCATTTTCCTGGGAAAGATAATTGCAACTGGCAACCCTGTTTAACATGATATTAGCATATCGAAGAACAGCTGATAAAAAGACAAAAAGCTTCCAAATCCCTGTAACTACTGCATACAAACGTTCCCTGGTCTTCTTGTGAATTAAGACATCACGTTCAGGATAAGATAGTCAGTGGACAACTTTCATAGTACACATAACAGAAATGGGCTCAGTTTGTAATGACGAGATCTGGGTTAATCTCTAACATTAATGCATGTGGGAGTCAGGGGAATTAGGGCTATTTGGGGGTGGGGGCTTTGTGGCTGATTAATGCCTGCCTCAAATAATTAAATAAAAAGCCAGGGTGCATTTATTTATTTATAGCAGTAGCATAGCCAGGAAGTCAACAAATATTGCTGCTGATTTCTCTCCTTCCCCCACCCCTTGGAACAGCATTGCATGGCAACTCTTACGTAGTGATTTTATGTATTATGCATCCAATAAAATTCATTTGCTTGTTAGGACAATTCTGCGGGCTATTGTGCAATTCTGAGCAAATAAGGTAGCTACACGATTAACCCTTTGGGGGCTGTGTCTATATCCATATCCTTTTGTCACCTTTCAGAGTTATTCTCCCAGGACAAGCTTATTTGCATCTGATACTATAGACAGTACTAATTCAATGGGAGTACCTTCAGATTTAAACTAGCATAACTGAAGGTAGAATATGATCTGATTCATTGTCATCACATTGCCATGGAATGTTAGATGTGATTACGTTTTCCCAGCCCAAAATACTTTCAGGGTAACATTCAGTAAATTGCAGATGATTCTGCAATGCTGGCTGAAAACTCAATGAAACACATCTTTTTACCAACACATTCATTGGGAAGGCACTTTTCCATAGGCGTATTTCCCCTTTAGGAGGAGAGTCTAAGCCTGGAAAATTTCAGCCCAAAAGGTGAATATTTCAGAAACTTAAGAATGAGTGGAGACAAAAATCTTATAATGGAAACTGTTTTGCAGCAACTGTAGCTGTTGCTGCCAAGGATTCACTTATCACAGAAACAGACCTAGCTGTGGTATGGATTGTGGGAACAGACACCAACCTTGCCCAACAGGTTAAGAAAGAAATGAAGAATTATTTTCCATTTGACACCCAAGGAAGCGTTTATGTGCTCTGTCAGAAGAATATAATTTCCTGAGCTGTGATATACAGTAGAACCTCAGAGTTATGAACTGACCAGTCAACCACACACCGCATTTGGAACCGGAAGTACACTCAAGCAGCAGCAGAGACCGCCACCCCCCCTCCCCCACCCCAAAAGCAAATACAGTACAGTATCATGTTAAATGTAAACTATTTTTAAAAATAAAAGGGAAAGCAGCATTTTTTTTCTGCATAGTAAAGTTTCAAAGCTGTATTATCTCAATGTTCAGTTGTAAACTTTTTAAAGAGCCACTGTAACGTTTTGTTTAGCGTTACAAACAACCTCCAGTCCTGAGGTGTTCGTCACTCTGAGGTTTTACTGCAGCTGCAGCACTGGCACTGGCACTCTGCTTGTGTAGGAAGTGCTAGTGGTCTTCAGTCAGGACCATTGTTTTATGTCTCTTTGTCAATCAACTGTTATCTCATTTTAAGCCTTTCTGAGCTAATAGCTCGTTCCAATGTTACAATTCATAACAATAATAACTTCTACAGTTAGCTGTTCAATCAACTAATCTTTGGTCTTGGGCACTCGGGGTGAAATCCTGGCTTTTGCCACTGACATCAATACGGCCAGAATTTCACCCTAGATCACCACATGAGTTCTATAAACTACATTGTAGCTCTCCTTCTTTCTGACTTTTTGGCTACAGAACAGCACCAAAAGAAAAGATTAGAACACGTTTTGGATTCCAGTGAACACCTTTATTTTGAGGTGTCATAAATTGGGAACCCCTTGTCCAATTAACTTCAGTTTGAATGGGAAAATTCTATCCAACCTCAGTGTTCATGTACCAGTACTGAGGACAATATTCCTTTCTCTGTTGATTTTAGAGCCAGGATGGGAATTGGGCTTAAAATTGAAGATGAGTGGCCATCTCAACTACGGAGAGGCTACTACCTCTCTATAACATATAGGCTATTTAAATAGGTAGTTATAACATCATTAGAATCACTAATTATTTAAACCTACAGGTCACTTGGCACTCCTTTTTATTTTCCTGTAGATTCAACTGCAATAAATTAAGTGTCAATAGATGGTAGATATTTAGATTAACCATATTTCCATTGTTTTCAATAGTTTTTTTCTTCTTCCTACCTTTGTATAACATTGTTCTATAGTCTTTGCCTTCCCAATAGCTTATGTTTACTCTGGTGAAAACATTGTACTTCTCTGGATACTGAATTTCAAACAACACTCCTGTTTCTGGAGATGGTTTGTAGTCATAGATAGAAACGCTGCTTATGGGAAGAGGTTCTAAAAGACATACAAAGAAACAAGCAGAAAAGGGGAAGAAAGGAACATTTTTAGGCATACAGAAAAGGAGAGAGAAGCTTTTACCTAATTTTACCCCCCTAAGAAATCACATTATCCACTTCCATATGGCATAGAAATTCTTAGATGCATTGGTTGAAATCCTGGCCTTGATGAAGACAACGGCAAACCCACCATTGACTTCACTGAGGCCAGAATTTCTGTCCATGTGTCCCCAGCTCATTCACGATCCACAAAGCTTATTCCTCTCAGAGGGTGAATTTACCCCTATGCTGAGAGCCAGCAGAAAGCCTGTGCAGCATTGAAGTCCAACTCAAGCCCTCAAAGTTGAAGCTTAAATAGGAGGTAAGTGGAGCATAGTCTGTGTGCTGGCTCTCTGCAATTTGATTGAATTTCACCTTTATTACTTGTCTTCAGATCAAAGATGGGCCCTGACTATAAACAAACAAACAAAAACAAACAAAAATTTGAGGGTAGAACAGGGTGAATAACAATTTTTTCAGTTCACTGGCAATTTCATAAAAAGATTGGAAAAAGTTGTTTCAAGTCAAACCAAAAATGAAAACTTTCAGTTTTCAGCAAATTAGAAAGTTGGAAAAAACAGTTTTGGTTCAAATGAAACATTTTGTGCAACCCAAAATGAAATGTTTCATTAGGATTTTGAGCATTTTTTAAATGTTTTAAATTTTTGTAAATAAAATAACTGGAAATTTTGGAATGAAAAGTTGTTCATAATTTTGAAAATGTCAAATTGCAAAATGTTTTTGTATTGCTGAACCTAAATTTTTCACTGAAAAAATTTTTGGTCAGAAAATTTCACTCTGCTCTACTTTGGGATGCTTATAAGCGTGATGTGGCTCTGAACTTTTCGGCTCATTCCCATCTCTACAGCGAAAGGGTATCAATGCAATGACAAAGCAGGAAGCACAAGACTTTCGTATCTTCTAGAGTAAAAAAAAATATTACTTTCTATGTTTATATGTTCTTGTTTCTGTCTGTCTATTTTAGGTATTTACATGGCCCCCATTACCGTAGTATCTCAGTGTCTCATGATCTTCAGTGTGTTTATTATCAGAATACTCCTGTTATCACCCCTGTTTTACAGATGGGGAACTGACTCACAGAGTTTAAGTGACTTGCCCAAGGTCACACAGGAAGTCTGTGGAGCACAGAATTGAATCCTAGTCTTTTCAAGTTCCAGCACTGGCCCTTCTTTTGTCTAGTCCTGTTATAAAGTAAGAAAAATTGGGCCCAGATCCTCAACTGTTTTTCATAAATCAGCAAAGTTCCATTAATTGCAGAGGAAGATTGCTGGCCAATAACTCTTGTGTGCTGTGCTTATTGTTCATTGTGATGTGACTCTGTGGTGATTGCACAATGATGATGTCAGTTTATATCAGATGAGAATCTGGTCCAGTATTCATAATATTGGAGCCACAATTTTGTTAAATTTTTCGCTACCTGCAAAATCAGTCTATGGCTTCATATGTTTCTCAGCTAGGACAGACTTTCCAACATGCTTTCATAATGTGTGATTTGGCCAGACATACAAATACTGGACAACATTTTTAGTCAGAGTTTTTCCACACAACCATTTTAATAATTCACTTTACACCCAATGTTCTCAGTAATTGCTTCTACACTTATGATCTAGGCTTTTTAGCTCTCCAACACTTGTTGGACACAGACTGAAAAATACCAGATGTTCAGTACCAATTATTATTATTTGTACTACAGCAGCACCTAGATGGCCCAACAACTGAGATCAAGGCCCCATTGTGCTAGGCCCTATATAAAACACTAGTAAGAGATATTCCTTTCCCTAAAGGGCTTACAATCTAAATAGCAAAGATAAAGGGTTGGAGAAAAGAAGTATAATCTCTATTTTACTAAGGCACAGAGATATTAAATGATTAGTCAAAGACTGCAGAGCTAGTACCAGTACAGTACCTTAACGACAAGATCATCTGTCCTCATTACTACCTTCTGCCAGATCAACCAGTTCAAACAGATTAAAAAACAAGCCAAGGTGGCCCATGAAGAAGTTGGCATAATGGGGAGCCAACCTACTATCCATGGCTTTCCCATGGTTTGGACAAAGTGTTTGTTGTTGAATGTAAAATTGTTATGGGTGAGAATGAAATGGATGGGTTTGGTAATGTGTTTGCAGTGGATATCTGAGGCTTGTTCATTGTCTCGTGAATATTTGAGGAAGATAGCTGTGCTGCCATTGTGAGGGATGTTGATGTATAGGGAAGTGACATCCATGGTGGCACGGATGGTATTCTAAGGGAGACTGTTAATGATGCAGAGTTTGTGGAGGAAGTCAGTTGTGTCCTAGAGGAATCTGGCCCTTTGCATGGTGAGTGTTTTGAGGATAGTTTCTATGAGTTCCAATATTCCTTCAGTAGAGCGCTGTGGCCAGACACGATGGGTCTGCTTGGGTTCCCTTGTATCTTAGCAATCATGTACAAGGTCCTTGGAGTGGGCTTGTGGGGGATGAGTTTGTTGAGTTTTTCTTGGAGTTCTTTGGGGAAGAATTTTATGTTATCCTGAAATCCCTGGGTAAATTATGGCTGAGGTCTTCTCTGATTTCTTCATAGTAGGTGATGTCGGAGAGTTGTCGGTTGGCCTTGTTAACATAGTCATCACAGTTGAGGACTATGATGGTGCCCTCTTTGTCTGCTGGTTTGATTGCTAACTGGTGATTAGATTTCAGTGACTGTATAGCATAGCTGTCCCCTCATCGGTGGAGAGATTGTGGTAGATGTAATGTGACTTTTTTTTAAGGATTTCAGTCAATTCTTTTCCTAAAGCAATCGATGTAATGATCAAAAATGTGGTTTTGTCCACTCTGTGGTGTCCAGTCAGATTACTTTTTTTTTTTTTTATTGATTATAGGTGGGGACATGGTAATTGTGAGTGGTGTTATCATTGTTGTGAAATAATTCTTTGAGGTGGAGTTGGTGGAAGAACTCTTCTAGTACTTCACATATTAGTATAGTATCAGGTTCTGTGATGGAGTCCCTAAGAGAGTACAGATAATCCAGTTCCACCTAGGGGTATCATGATGTTTGGGTGTCATGTAGTGTACGTGTAGTGAGTACTGGTGCCACTGTTTCTCCCGGAGGTGGTATTCTGTAGGTCGTGGAGTAGTTTTAGTTGGTCCCACTTTCTGTTTTTGTGTTGGATGGATGGATGTCACAAGGGTTTTGTTTGTTTGTTTGTTTTTTGTTTTTTAATAATAGTTTTGGATTTCTTGCATGATTTCCATGTGACTTTCCTGATTTTTCTCTTTCAGTGTTTGGGAGAATATGATGATTTCTTGTTTGAGGTAGTCTCAGATTTCTTGATTCAGCTGGGACAGGAAGCAGAAGTCACAAATTTCTAGAAAGAAGGCAGTGAGTTTGGCATTTCTGTCCTAGTTGAAATCAGAGAATACTGGTCTTCTTGGAAAATAGAGTGAAAAATCCCATGAGATGAGACTATTTTCTATACCAAAAAGCATTGACCTACTGCAGCTAAACATCCACACATTTGAATACCTACTACTTATTCAAACTGAATCTCCAGGACTCTCAAACACCAGTACATATTATAGTGTGTGGAGTCCATGAAAAATATTGCTGACAACTCCTGATTTAATAGCCCAGAAATAGATAACAGCAAAAGCAGGTCACAAAATACAAAGCCTTCCATCTTCTTTCTATTGAGTCTATTCCCATCTCTTCAACTGAAATAAGTGGCTGATCTGGTTATCCACATGACCACAGGGTGCATATAAGAGCTCTTACACATGATAGTGCTTAAAATATCAATAACAACGTCTGAACTGTACAACTCTTAGCTGCAAGTCATCTTTCACTATCGTGGGTTTGCCTTGGGCTCTTTCTTCTATTATCTCATTCAGATTTTGGCCTTCCTTATTATTGTAATAATTATGGCAACTTTCCAAGTCAGTGATTGAATTATCCAGTTATTTCTTCCTAGGACAAATCAAATAAAGGGTAGAAGTTGTATTCATTTTTAATTCAAATTATTTTGGTTCCTGATGTTTTGATTTAATTAGACTATGATTGAATTAAGTGGAAGATGCTATGGATTGCCTTTCCTGCTGTTATGTTTCATTTATCTTCCTCTCTCTTTGGCTTGAGAAAGATGCTAGCACAGTAATGTGAGTGAGAACATGGAATTCAGAGCATCTCCCATCAGCCTATTCCCTCTGGCACCAAGTCTCCTAATCTAAGCCAATTTCACACTATGAAATTACAGGGACACTCTATAGATAAAAATAATGTTCTGTTTTTAATTTCTCATAACTTGGGTTACTAGCAGCTCTCTAGGTTATTAAAGCTTAATAAATATGTATACTATTTTCCTTTTCATCATATGCATTTAATTTATCACACTATGTGAAGAATGAAATTAGTGACTGGTCAGTTTCACTTCCCTGCTCTCTCAGCATTTAGGGCCCAATCTAGCACCCAATCTTTCAATTTCCTTCAATGACCCTTAACAAATACCTAAAACAGTTGTATTAGAAAGATGCCAAAGTGCTTGGGTTTCCAACACGTCAAAGGAATATTTTAGAACAGTGTCTCTCACCCTATGCATTCCATTTGCATTCCATATTCTAAAAATAATACAATATTCTATAAATCTTAAGGTTTTATTTGTGGCACAAAAATAATTTCTTTGAAGTGCTAAAACCTACACTTGGGCATAGATGATTTCAGTGTCTCTTTTAAATAAGATTTAATAAATGTATTCACATACAGTGTCCTTTCATTTTTAGATTCTCATAGTATATTATGCCCATGCACAGCAGTTTGCAGGATCAGGACCTCCACCCATACCTGAACTTTAAATAGCCTGCTTGTGTTTAGGATGCACACAATTGTGTTTCTTCTGTAGGTCTGAGAATCTGCTGCTCCCATAGCAACCAATTTCTCCTTTTGTCTATTGAAATTTTAACGTCATAATTTCGCCTGGACTCCCTTGCCCTTTTGTATTTAATCTGTTACCTGCATTATGCAAATGGCATGTGAGAATAATGGAAGTTGCAAACCTCCTTCTCAAAACCTAGACCAATTTCAGATGCTAAAGCCTCCAGAAAGCCTCCAGTCAGTGCCAGTCACATTAAAGTTTTATACAGCTGTTTCAAACCAAGAAAAAAACCCTGTACATTGAATATTACCTCCACCCTCCAACCAAATTTCCCAAATAAATTGCTTTTTAATGTTCGTAAATCTGCATGCCCTACATGCTGAATTCATTATGGGTTGCCATGCTAAGGTGGATGAAGTATTACACATGGTTCCTAGAAATGGGCCAGGGATTAACTCCCTTACCCATTGCACCCAAAAATAGATTAAAGACTGACATTTATATTCCATAGAGAAGAATCCAAGAGCATTTTTACGAAAGTAAGGCCACCATACTGCTGACATGTTCTCACATGTGGTGTAATTTTGCACACAAGTAGTCCCATTTGAAGTCAATGGGGCTACTGACATAAATAAATTATCAACAGGCATAAGTTTCTGCAGAATCAAATTATTATTTATTTGTATCATGTTATTGCCTATATGCCCCAACCAGGATAACAGCTCCATTTTGTTCCATCACTAAAATGCAGCCACCTCTGGGGTGAAATGCAGCAGCTATTTAATGTATGCAGCAACATCACATTAAGATTTCGGATAGGTAATGAAGAACACCATCGCAACTGTATGGAGAATTTAAGCAGAGATACCGACTGGAATGTTCCAGTGTGACTAGTGATTTGGGGTGCCTCAAATTCTATGGGCCCAACTTAGTACACCTTAGAGATGAGAGATATCAAAATTGGGGCCTCCATGTTTAATACAACCCAAAAACTCTTTCAAAAAGTTTTACATTTCATCTGAGAGACAGCACCCAACCTCCTCTACGGCACAGATTCTATGAAGCTTTGGAGGGAAGAATGGCATCTACTGAATCAATAGTGCCATTTCCTGCAGCATCTACTTTGACATTCAAGTATTAACCAGTTCCAATATGGATTACTTTCTAAGAACTGATGAAATTACAGTCCCCAAAAGGTACAGCTATAGGGCACTAGGGAGGAAGGAAGAAAAGAAAAAGATCTATGGGCAGAATTCTCTTTATACGAACTATTTTTTCAAAGTTTTCCCATGAGTAGTCAGTGGCTTTTGGAAAGCTAAGATATTTTACAACCCTAATCTTCTAGTTACAGGGCAAAACAAATATCAAGCAGAGCAGTTCTTAATGGTACCATGTGTCCTGATTTAATTTCCCAGTTGAAATACAAGTTGTTGCTTTTTTACAGAGAGGCACATGGTAATTTTGCGGCATGCTGCCTTCTCTACTCCTTTAAATGTGTAAAGCTTGTTCTCTCAATGGGATTAACCTCACAACAAAAAAGCAAATCAATACGGAGTCAAAAAACTAGACAGCACTGATGTAACTCAGTCTAGCAAGCCTGTCTCAGAATAAAGCTCACTGAATATCATTAGACTCTAAATAAAATCAAGTCTCCTGACTGGAAAAGGGTGGGACATGGGTGAGGGGTTTTAGTCACTGGTTTTAGAGTTACTTTCTTTATTGCTTCCAAAACTACTATATAACTAACTGGGACTTAGCACATGTCGACACAGCAATCAGAGATGTGATGACACCTCAGGTAAGCATCCCCCGGCCCTAGAGTAATCTAGTTAGCATGGCTAAAAATAGCAGAGAAGATGTAGTGGCACAGACTGCACAAGCTAGCCCAGAATCCTAGATACATACTCACTCTGTGAATTCACTTCTATTTTTAGCCATGCTAGCTACACTGAAGCTAGGGTGGGGATGCTTACCTGAGATGTGATCACAATGTAGATGTACCCTTAGCTAGCAGCTTTCTTTCAGATTCCAAAATACTCAATACACATTATAAATCCAGGAATCACCTGACCCTTCAATGAAAAGCCACCACTTTAAGAGCAGAAGGAAGTAGTCACCACAGCATCACACATCACTATTATTTTTTAACCTTATCGAGTTCAGACTCCAGGGGGAGATTAAGGCTAGATATACACAATTATTCTTGCTGGAATTTGGCCAGGACACCAGGGTTAACACACCTACTCTTGTAAAAACTGTCATGGGATGTTTTTCATGACAAGTGGTCAGGATCTCAATTTTACCTCTTCTTCAGCAGTAATGTGTCCAACAACACCATATTGAACACTGGTTCAGTACTGAATCAGCAGGAAGAGTGACACCTTCTTATCACCACTACCACATTCTGTCTTACAGGTCTCCCATCTAAGGGCAGATCGTAGCCAGTTCTGCTCTCTCTGATGAAATCACAATCCAAAGTAGATTGGCAACAGATTGGATCTGCTCAGTTCACTAAATTTAAGGCTGCGAGTTCAGGTATAGCAATCATTGGGCCCTACTACAGTCTCCAAATATGTGGACTATAGAATCCAAATAATACATGCATATATGATGCTAAAGACACCAGAAGCTCTATGTTCTGTGGAGTTTTGACTAGTAATGAGAAAGTCCTGCAACCATTCTAACTAGGGACATGTGAACATATTCACAATAAGTGAAACTGGCAAACTGTTCCTTTTTTACTAGCATCAAACTTTCTGACATCCATCCCAACATTTTCACTGCAGCAAGAAGCACTGTTGAATATCGACACTACTTTCTCTTTGAAAACAAACCCCATTTGATCTCACAGAGAAGGTCCAAGTTAAAGATGACAGCCCTGTGGCAGAAAAAAAAATTCTGATGCCTTTTCCTCCTGAACAATCTTTTTCTTCCTAGACAGAAGCCTTTGATGAATGCAGCAAAAATTCTGTCAGACTTCAGCGGGGTGAGATTTCACCCTGTGAAGAGAGATTACTTTTTTTTCTTTTTTGTCCACCTGCTGAGAGAAGAACATCACAGAAGGAACTAGGATAGGGAAAGGAAATCAGCTCATAGGAATATTGTATTGGAAAGCAGAGAGTTCTCAATAGAGAGAGCTTTTCTGTGGATCCCTGAGGGGAAAAGCCCCCTTCCCCATACTCTGCTCTCAGTTGCCTTAGCACAGAATTGGGATGAAAGACGATAGTGGTATGTGGTGCCACTTCACAGACACTTCTGCAAGTATCAGTAAGCCTAGAAGAACTGTTCTGAAATGTTTAAGGACAGCCTTGGGACTAATTGCAGTCAACATCATTTATCTCAAAGAGTCACGCATCATCGGCCACATAGCTTGATTTATCTCATGGCAGTCCAACACATAGGGCCAGTTTGTAGCTGGTGTAACTTGACAGAAGTCAATGGAGTTGCATCAGGATGAATTTGCTCCAGGATCCTGGCAGCAGCATGTCACTTCTTTAAGTCATAGATAAAAACAGATTAGATAAAGCTATTTTTCACATGGTCACACTAAGCCAATGATATTTAACAGACAGAGAACATATAACACATGGAAAAATATGAATCGATCCTAATTACTTTACAGGTTGCCACAATATCAGACTTTTCCTGAACAAATCCCGTAATTGAAACATCCCTCTCTTCAATTAAAAGACCTTCTTGAGAAGGCTATGCTATTATAAAGGGAACTAGTAGCAACCCATATACTTAGGTGGCCCATGCTTTCCATTAAGAAGGATTCTTGCAACCTTTTCTTTGAGAAGTTCTTACACCTGCATTGTTTAGAGCAAACCTTTGACTTTCAGCAGGGCAAATGTCCTTAGGTTACAGATCTGTCTTTACTTCATCCCAGGAAACTCTGTTTATCTTTTACTAAATTTGTAAGTTCAGACTTATTTCTCTGCCAAACAAGCAGTAGCAGACACTGTACTGGGAATAGTACTGGAAAAACATTTCTTCTGAATTTGTTTCCCAAGCAAAAAAAGACAGATTTGGCAATACTGAAAAAGTTTGCAAATTCATGTCATTTTTGCTTAATTGTTTCAGCCCATCTGCTTCCCCCGCCCCCACAAAATAATCCAAAAAATCAAATCCTTTGGATATTTTGAATGAAAACGTCTTTTTGTTTTGAACTTCCCATCATTGAATTTTGAAATTCCCATCATGATGTGAGGATGGACTAAATGCAATCAGACCTCCCTGCCCTGTTTATGGTAGATGAATCCTAACAATGTCAACACAAACAAACCTCTTAAAAGAGGGGTTACTAAAAGGTGGTCCATGCTACAAAAACTTTGAGATGTTCCAACTCGGTGGGAGATTGTCACAGTGACCACCTGGCTTCCCAGTCACAACTGCACAGAGCACCTCACCTCCCATTCATGATCAAACAACATCCATGTGACAGCTACAGCAAAAGAGCCAACACCACATGGCCAGGCAGCTCTCACTGGACTGCCAGCGAGTACTTTTTAGGTCACAGACCACAGTCTGGATCATAGTATGTATATACGCACATAAAAAGGTGAGAAATTTCCATCAAATATATTTAGCCAGGTTTTCAGGGTTAGCTTAGGGTTCTGGAAATGGCTCATCTCTTCTGCCCAGCCTAGAAAGGAGCTTCCCTGGCCCACCTGCTCAGGGAAGGAGTACCCCAGATGAGCCTGGGGGTGCCCCTTTCCAGACTTTTTATGGGCTGGGCTACCCAGGTAGTCTCTACAGCTGCTCTCTTCCTTCTACCCAAGACTTCAGAGCCTTTGCTCCTAGTCCTCCCCACAACCCAATCAGGTCTTTTTTAATGTAGTTCAACCTCTGCACAGAATTATCTTTGGAGTGACTCACACACAAAGAAGAAAAAGAGAAACTGAATAAGTTGCTACTTACTGGTTAACACAGTGATCGATCTCACTGGTTTGGAAACCATGTTGGAATTCACCACCATCAGAGTCACTATGTAATAAAGGCCATGATAACTGGCATTGAAAACCACAGGGGAAGGTAAAGTGCTGTTGAATTCTTCAAACTGGAAAAAGTAGTTCTTGGATTCACCAGTTATCTTCACAACGTACACAAAGGACGAGCTCACTACATCAGACTCCTCCAACGACACTACAATGCAGTTGTCATCTCGGACAGTAACTTGGAAAGGTGCTGCATTCTACAAGACAATAAAAGAAGAGATACTAAAGGAAAATCCAGGGTATCATCAGCAATTTCACTTTTATCTACACGTTTAGGTATTTACATCACACTCATTCCTGTGGCATTTCTGTGCCTGATCCCAGTGGGGTGATAAATAAGAATTTCATTCCACGAGAGGGTTAGTTTGCAAAATTCTTGCAATCTTTTTAGGACCTGACCCAAAGCCCAAAGTTAATGCTACATGATTATTAGGCAAATCCATCTGCCAATGCAAGATTGTTCCCTACAGTATATTTTCCAATGCTATGACTAGTCCAGCTTTCAATGTCCCGAAAACTCTGCTGTTTCCCTGGGAAGACTATTTCGGATATGCAGCCTGAATTGCCCTTTTCACCTCACAGGTTGCTGGTTGTTGGTGGGTTTTTTTGTTTGTTGTTTCTTTTAGTAGGGGCAGGGATGAAAGGGGGATACCAGGTGAAGAAGGATTTTAGAAAAAGCTGCAAACAATACTATTGAGGACAGTAGGGTCAATGGAAATGTCTTTATTATCCAGAAGCAGGGCACTGTAGGCAGGGCCGATGAGAGGAGGGAGGGGAGAAGCTGGTACAAATTACCGGGGCCCGGCGGTCCGGAAGGGGGCCCGGGGCCCGGCTTCCCCGCCCCGCCCCCGTCAGTCCTGTTTAGCCAGTCTGCCCTTGCTGGGGGGGCCGAAAATTTTTTTTCACCAGGGCCCGAACCCGCTCTCGGTGACCCTGACTATAGGCCTGATCTTGGGAAATGACAAGAATGTGCAGCTGAGGGAAGATTTCTGTGATATAAGAACTGACCAAGCACTCTCAGAAAGTCCTGTCTAAGCATTCACTGGGTGCTTAGCACCTCTCAGTATCAGGCCTTATCTTTGCATCTCAAAAGCTGGACATGAGGGAATAGGAACTCTTGTCAGTCACTGCTTTTTCATTTCCTAAGTTAAGTCATTTCATTTTAAATGTTTCTTTCATATGCAGTTAAGAAAAAAATTGAGAGATTTAATCTTGTTTTCCCATATCATGAGCATATAAAGTCACTGCCAGCTGAAAAACCTTTTCCTTTTATTAATTGCAAGCCAGCTGTCAGCAAGCAGCACTTGTTCTCTACAGGAATTCCGAACATAACTGCTGTAATTAATTAGAAGAAAAGATTAATCTTTACAGCAGTGGTTACTTCTCTTTTTTCTTCCTCCTCCCTTCCCCTCCACCCCTTTTACAGATGCAGTATTGCCAACCTCAGGCATTCAAAAATCAGGAGTCAGGCCCCCCAAAATCATAAGATTGGCTTAAGAATCATGAGATTTTCAAAAATAAACATTTTTATTATTAATAATTATTATTATTATTATTAATTTGCCTTCTGGGTTTTGGCTCAAGCTTTTTTCAAGCTTTTCTCCACAATCATGAGGGCTAGAAACTTATTTTTCTACAAATTAAAGCGGAGGTTATTGCAAAATGAAATTATTCCAGGAGCTGGGGTTTGAAGAAGAATACCAAATATCTGAAAGCTGGTGATAAATTTGCAAGAGTTGGCAACATTGTATATAGTAGAGAACGGAGGTTGAAACCATCAACATTAAGTACTACAGAAAGTGGAGGTCCTACAAAATGGCAAACTGGGTTTCAGATCCTGAGTACAGTTGCAGGCCCTGAGTCTGTAGAGAGGCTGAAACAATAGCTCAGAGAGGTGTGAACTACCCTGTACAATGGGATGTTAACTTCTAGACCTTCTATTCTGGGGAACCCCTCCACTACCACCTCTCAAGGAGGGAATTGTGTGAGAAAAGTGAAATGGGCTAGCTCACCCACATACCCACAATGATACACCAAGGTTACTGGGGTAAATACTGTGGGAGTTCCCCTGCCTCTTAAGAAGTCTGTGTTGCCCCTGCTGCTCTCAAAAGAAGTGGTGCTTCTACTGCTGCTGCAGAAGGAGGGAAAGGCTCAAGTTGCTGCCCCTGTATCTATGGGAAGGGAGGAGCCCATCAGCTACTGCCACTCCAACTAGAGGAGGGGTCACAATGTAGGATCAGTGCTGTGAGGGTGAAATCACAAACTGGCCCCTATGTCAAGGTGAACCTAGAGCCACAGATTGCCGTAATCTGTCTCCATATAGATAGGGATGGGCCAGGAGACTTGTTCCTAAAAAAGCTGAGAGACTTTAGAGCTGGACACAAACTGCAGCATTGGTCTTTCTCTATAATGGACGTAACCTGGACCCAAACCTGGGATAAACATCAGTTCCAGATTTTGATTTGATCTTTGCACTTTGGTTCCAATCTCTAATCCTAAAATCCTTTTAAGTGACTTTCGGACTTTAAAATGATACACACAACATATTATTAGGAATTAATATGTTATGGCAAAAGTTTATTACACTTTGCAGATGGCATAGTCATTGCCCCAAAGAGTTTACAGTCTGAGGTCCCAACTCTGCAAAGACTTACACATGAAGACTTACAAATGCTTACCTGTTCTCCATTTGGATTGATATGCTTACCTTTTGAAGTCAATAGGGCTAACCATACATGTCTTTGCCTAAAACCCCAGTCCTGCAATCTGACTCACACAGGATCCAATTGCAGGATTAGGGATTACATTTTAGAGCTGGTCAAAAAAACCCACAAACAAACAAAAAAGCAACAACAACAACAAAACGAGGGGGGGGATTTGGGATTTCATCCTCCCCCCCCCCATCAACATTTTAAATTATTCCTACTACACCCCTCTAACCCAGCCCCATGGGACATCAAGGAAGTGTCCATAAAGTTGGTCTCCATGAAACACGGATGTGCCTGTCTCTTCACAAAGAATCACAGAAAGAGTAACTTTATTCTAAGTCTAAATAAGGAATTATGGTCCTGATTAATAGATTATATACCCACAAGGGACCACTGTGGTCTCATCTGAGCTCCTGTAATAACACAGGCCATAGGATTTCCCTTTATTTCTGTTTGAACTAGCGCATATCTTTTAGAAAAACATCCAATCTTGATTTTAAAATGGCTAGTGATGGAGAATCCAGCACAACCCTTGGACAGCAATTCTAATGGTTTTACCCTCACTGTTAAAAATTTGCATTTATTTCCCTTATGAATTTATCTAGCTTCAACCTCCAGCCATTGGACTGTGTTAGATCTTTCTCTGCAAGACGGAAGAGCCCATCATTAAATATTTGTTCCCCTTGTAGGTACTTATAGACTGATCAAGTTGCCAAGTCACTTAACCATGTATCTAACATGAAGCATGTGAGTAATCCCATTGAAGTCAATGGGGTTTGAAGTCAATAGAACTACTCATATACCTAACTTAGGCCCATGCTTCGGTAGATAAGGTAAACTCTGCTATCCCTAAAGATACTCTGGCTTCCTCACTTCTAACCAGAACCTATCCCAGCACCGTCCCCAATCCCCTGGCCTAACTTCTTGCTATACATTTAAAAGAAAGAAACAAACAAAAAGCCCTATTGAAAATCGGTTATTTTTTTTTTTTTTATAATGGAGATATCCTATCTCCTAGAACTGGAAGGGACCTTGAAAGGTCATGGAGTCCAGCCCCCTGCCTTCACTAGCAGGTCCAAGTACTGATTTTGCCCCAGATCCCTAAGTGGCCCCCTCAAGGATTGAACTCACAACCCTGGGTTTAGCAGGCCAATGCTCAAACCACTGAGCTATCCCTCCCCCCAAAGGCAATTTAAGGCAGGCAATTACAGTTTAAACCATAGTTCCTCATATTAATCGTAGTTTAGGTTACTGGTGGTGCTAATAAAGGACCGCTGGAAATTAATGATATAATTGCATTTGTATATAGACTCAGCATATAATTATATGCTTATAAGTGTCATTCATATTTGGTGCGATTTCATTCTTTGATATGTATATGGGTGTTGTACTAACTGCACCAAAGTATATTTTATTAAAATTTTTCCCATCAGAAGGTGTGCTGGACATGATAGTAAATTCCACCCATCTGACAGCCAGGTGACCCCCCCCTACATAACTCTCATACGATCATCATAACATAACTGAGGCACACTATATAAAAATCCTCACAGTAAGTTGCTACTGTTACCAGTGGTAAGATTCAGATGCAGACAATAATGAATTCTAAGTGAGTGATCACTGAAGCAAACAGCTGCCAGTGAGTTTGTAAAAGAGGTAATCACCCTGCCTCACACACCTGCGCCCATATGCTTTAAACTATACCCTGCATGATGCACATTTTTGAGTGACATCTGTTCTATACATTACAAGCATTGCATGGCCTTCTTCAACAATTTCTGACCTTTGGTTCTGACACTCAGGTTCTGATTTCAAAATGCAGGGACAGATGATAGATCAGAATACAGGACTCAAAAATTGATGTGAAAACTTAGGTCATTTTTCTCCCGTCTTGCATATGCAGTCTGATTTTCTAATGTTTCTAAAAGAGTGGGCCAATGTGTGATGTTCTCTCTCTCTGTATGAGAAGGTGGTTACTGGCGGATATTGGTTTTGTGCTTTTGGGAGGAAGGGCGGGGACAAAACCAGCATTGTTTCTAAGCACCACTTTCAGTGATAAACATGCCCCACTTAACTAGAATGTAAAGCTGGTGTCTCTTAGGACTGACAGCATCAGTATGGTAAATACACATTTCATTACTTCTGGTCAGCTACCTTCAGGATTTAATTTGCTGGTGTCGCAGCTCGAGTGGCTGTTTTATGCCTGTGGGGAAATTTGGCAGGACTTGTGTATTCTGAACCAAATGATTAGCTCCAACTTCCTTCTGAGTTTATTATCACAAGCTTGTGCTGCACTAAAGGACTTCGAAAAAGGAGGAAGTGAATCCTGCACTCTAGTGTCTGCTTGCAGTCCCTTTCAGCACAGGGATAAGTCATGACAATGGAATTTCCAACCAACAACCAGTTCCCAATTTAAAAAAGCAAGAAAATATAATGACATCACACAAACGGCTATTCAAAGAGTAATGGGAAAATAAATGCCATGCAGC